TGCGACTGTGCCTCATAGGAGAGACTTTTGCCTTAAATCTCTGCTCTAGTGGAAGGTGTCTCTGCCTGTGGCAGGGGGTTGGGACTGGTCCTTTCCAATCCAAACCATTCCATGATTCTGTGAAAAAGACCTTTGTAAGATCCCAGGGTGTCTCTGTCCTGCTCCGGTCCTGCAGCATCCGGCTGCATGTCCTGTGCCAGGTTCAGATCTGCTGCCTTGTCCTGTCCCTACAGGCCCTTGTCCCAAGCCCCTCTCCAGCTTTCCTGCAGCCCCTTCAGGCACTGGAGCTGCTCTCAGGTCTCCCCTTCAGGAGCCTTCTCTTCTCCAGGCTGCCCCAGCCCAGCTCTCTCAGCCTGGCTCCAGAGCAGAGCTGCTCCAGCCCTCGCAGCATCTCCGTGGCCTCCTCTGGCCTCTCTCCAACAGCTCCACGTCCCTCTTGTATTGTTGCCCTAGAGCTGGATGAGGACTGCAGGGGGGTCTTCCCAGAGCGCAGCAAAGGGCAGGATCCCCTCTCTGAGCTGCTGCTCACGCTGGGTTGGGGTGGGCTCAGGGATGGGCTGCACAGTGCCCGGGGGTTGGGGGGCAGGGGGGCAGCCCAGCCCCACACACAGCCCTTTTGTTCTGCTCCATAGAAAGGCCATTCTTTGTGCTGATTTCAGAGGGACATAAGGAGGAACAGAGCTGTCATTGTCCCCCCGCAGACACTCCTCTGTTGTCGGGGGCCGCTGTGCCCGCCGGTGCGCTGGAGTTGGTGGGACGGGGAAGGACGTGTGTCTCATGGATGGGGTTGGGCTCTGTCTGAATCCCCATTTCTGCCTTATTCTCCCTCTTTGTTGTTATAAATCATCCAAAGCTTTGTCCTGCTCCTCTGTGTGCTGACTCCAGGTAGCAGCAGTGGACGTGGTAGTCCTGCCTTTCTCATGAGGACAGTTTGATAGGTCGTCTTGTAGGAAGCTTTGAGAGCAGTGGGCTGAACACAGCAGCCTGGATGTGAGGGTCTCACACCTAGGGAGGATCCAGGAGCTTTGCGCTGACAGGACCTTAAAGCTCCTGTCATGAGCAGGGACACCTTCCACTGGAGCAGCTTGCTTCAAGCCCCTGTGTCCAGCCTGGCCCTGAGCACTGCCAAGGATGGGGCAGCCACAGCTTCTCTGGGCACCCTGTGCCAGCGCCTCCCTGCCCTTCCTCCCCGTCTCTTCCTGCTCTTCCCATGCATGGGGTGTCTCTGGAGAGCTCTTGTTCTCCCCCCAGCACCGTGCCCTGTTCCCTGTGCCCTGCTGTGTCTCTGCCAGGAGCCAGCTCCTTGCCCTGATCAGCACTGCGTTGCTCCAGGACCTGCTGCCAGGTCGGTTGTGCCATAGCTCTGGTTGATGCAACAGCTCCTACCTGTTGCGGGGCCGTTGCCCAAGCGGGGCTGGAGGTGAGCTGTGAGGGTGACGTGGATCCCTGCTCGTTCCAGCACTGACCTGCTCGCTGGCCTGGGAATGGTGTGCAGCGCAGGGAAGAGGCTCTCGGCATGGTTTGGGTTCCTTGCATCACTCACTGCAGAGCCCAGCAGTGAGAGCTCTTGGCAGCAGCTTCAGGGCCTCGTGTGTTTCATGGCTTGGTGCCCTGTGGTTGGTGCTGCTCTGTAGGGAGCCACCGCCACAGCTGTGGTCGGTGCTCCGGAGCACGCAGTGGTTTGTGATTTACAACAGCACAACTCCTGAACGGATCCTGGCTCCGAGACCTTGAGCAGCTCCTGGAAGCGTCCAACGATACCTCAGGGCTTCCATCTCCCTGTACTGGGGGAGCTGGTGAAACAGCTCGGGGCTTGCAATGCCCCCTGCTCTGTCCTGGCAGAGGGAGACACCCCTTCTCCGTGCTGGGAGAGGGGGAATGCTGAAGCAGCTCTTCCTCATGGGCTGAGCACTTAGAACAGAATCATGGCATTATAGAATGGGTTGGGTTAAAGGGTCCTTAAAGTCTCTCCAGCTCCAACCCCCTGTCACAGGCAAGGACACCTTCCACTAGAGCAGCTTGCTCCAAGCCCCGTCCATCCTGGCTTTGGGAGCTGTGAGCTGTGTGTTTCCTGTGCTGTATCCCGCGGAATGTTTGAGGTCTGGGGGTGTGGGAGCCGTGTCTGAGCCTGCAGAAGCTCTGATCCCCTGGGACTGCCTGGACTGGTTGTACCAAGGTGAAACACGGTCCCGTGCTCTCAGCAACTCGTGAGCGGAGGCTTTGGGGGTGAGTGGTGGAGAAGGGCTTGCTCCAAACAAGACCTTTTCCCTGAAAACCTCAGGAAAACTCCCTTCTGCCTCTCCCCTCACTGTGACACCACAGCAGGAGCCATGGAGAAGGTCCAGCACCCACAGAGGCAGGAGGAGCTGCTGCATGGTTGGGTTCCTCATTGGCCTGTTTCCCTATGAGGTGGTGGGTGAGTTGTCAGAACATGTAATGGTTTGGGTTGAAGGGACCTCAAAGCTCCTTCAGCTCCAACCCCCTGCCACGGACAGGGACCCCTTCCACTAGAGCAGCTTGCTCCAAGCCCCTGTGTCCAACCTGGCCCTGAACACTGCCAGGGATGGGGCAGCCACAGCTTCTCTGGGCAAGGCACCAGTTCAGAGACAGCAATGTGAGGGCAGTGATGGGAAGCCTCTCCCTTGTCCATGACCCCTCCGAACTGGGACCCGGCTGCTCCCGGTGAGGGTTCTCAGCGTTCCCGCTGCCCCAGCGCCCTGCTCAGCTCCTGTGTCGTGTCACCGAGTGTTTAACTTCTGGCTTATTCAGAATTTCCTGTCTCCTGATAACATCTCCTCAGCTTCCAAATATATCCTGGTGCTGCCGGGGCCGTCCCCGCTGCCCGGGGTCAGCCCGCGCCGTGGTCGCTCCGCAGTGCAGGAGCAGCAGGAAGGAAGAGGGGAGTGGAGGGACACGTGTGTGCCTGGGAATCCTGCCAGGAGCAGCGCGAGGGTCACTGGGGCTGGGCCTGCAGGAAGGGAAGTGCCAATGGGACAGGTTGGTGGGGCTGGCCAGGGGCTGGGGTGCTGCAATGGGAATGCTGGGAAGCAGGAGGAGAGGAGCTGTTGGGGTGGGGAGGAGCTGAGGGAGGCACTGGCGCTTGGCTGGACAGTGTGAAAGTGAGGCAGCTTGGGACGGGCAGCTGGGAGCATCATGGAATCATGGAACAGTTTGTGTTGGAAGGGGCCTTAAAGCTCATCCATTCCCAACCTCCTGCCACAGGCAGGGACACCTTCCACTAGAGCAGCTTGCTCCAAGCCCCATCCAACCTGGCCTTCATCATCAGGATGTACCCACAGGTTGCTAAATATTGCAGTAGCCCTTGGATTTGGGAATACCCAGAGGATCGAGATTCCCCTTGTTCTAACCAGCTCCTGGAGGGATTATTCTGTTTGCATTGAGGATGATGAGGGCAGAAGCTCTTCCCTGTGAGGGTGCTGAGGCACTGGCCCAGGGTGCCCAGAGAAGCTGTGGCTGCCCCATTCCTGGCAGTGTTCAAGGGCAGATTGGACACAAGGGCTTGGAGCAAGATGCTCTAGGGGAAGGTGCCCCTGCCTGTGGCAGGGGTTGGAACTGGATGAGCTTTAAGCTCCATTTCAACACAAACCATTCCATCATTCCATGATCCTGTATCTGTGTCCCTCATGACCAAGACAGCGTGAGTGAACACACGTTGCACTTGTGCTGCTGGAGTGTGCTGTTGTGGAGGGCATGGGGCTGACAGCACTCACCAGGCCATCAGAGACCTGCAGTCCTGACCTGTATTCAGAGTGATCTTCCCACCTGGGAAGCCGGAGCCAGGCCGATGGTGCTCAGAGGGGGCAGGACTTGATGCAGTGAGCACTGGTGCTGCTGGTGATGCCAGGACCTGTCCGTGTGTGAGGAGGTGTCTGAGCACGGGGACATCTGCTCAACGTGACACTGATGCTGTTTCCTCCCCTGACCTTTCCATTCCAGTCCCCAGGCTGTTAGTGGTGTTTCTGATGCCTTGTTCAGCTAAATGCAGCTGTGGTGAGAAGGGTGGTGGAGACAGGTCGGGTCCTCAAAATAGTCCTTCGTGGTGCACGTCCTCTGGGGAGGCTCCTCCTGCTACCTGGCCCCAACAGCAGTCCCGGAGCCAAACCCAGCTCCCAAATCGAGCTGGCATTGCTGTAGGGACAGACACAGTCATCCCTTGGGATGATGCTGTGGGTGCAGTAACCACACAGCTATTCTGCATGGGGATGGAGCATCCCCCTTTCCATGTGCTGTCTGTAGCTGTGCCCAGCCAGGGGTAGGAGCAAAGTGCTCCTTCAGGGTTTCCAAGTCCCCAGCTTCAACGTCATCCACTGAAGCAACGCATTACACGTGGCTGGTGGAGAGTGCAGAGGGGAAATCACTGTTTAATGCCATTTCCCTTGTCCTGTCCCTACAGGCCCTTGTTCAAAGCCCCTCTCCAGTGTTCCTGTAGCCCCTTTAGGTACTGGGGCTGCTCTAATGTGTCCCTTCATGCAGCAGAGGGGCAGGATCCCCTCCCTGAGCTGCTGCTTATGCTCTGGGGGTGCAGCCCAGCACACAGAGAGGGTTCTGGGCTCAAGCACACACTGAAGCTGGGTCATGGGGGGCTTCTCATGGACCAACACTCCAAGTCCTCCTCCACAGAGCTGTATGTACGATCTGTGTGTCTGATCTTGTGTTAGTGACCCAAGGAAGGGAATTGTAACGTGAACTTGACCAGAGATGTGCTGCACTTGTGCTTTGCCTGTTGCACACCATTAGATGATGAGTTTTTTTGCTGTTTGCTCCCACATCTATGGAAATCGCTGCTTTTTCCCTGTGGCAGGGGCTGTGCAGTGGGTTTGTGGAGGGACTCTTCTCTGCTCCCCGTGTCCACGGGGGGCTGGCACAGTGCTGGAGCACCCCGGTGCTGCTCCCAGGCGCTGAAGCTATTGGGAGCCTGTGCTGCTGGGGGCTGAAGCGGACTCGGAACCTGCGCTCTAACCCTGCTCTTGTCTCCGCAGGGAGCAGGGATGGGCAGGGACAGATACTGCAGCGCTTCCCGGAGAAGGACTGGGAGGACAACCCCTTTCCCCAGGGCATCGAGCTGGTGAGTGCCATCCATCACAACTGGCGACGTGTCATCCCTTGGGACACCGGGAAGCATGACCCGTGCGTGGGGCGGGGGACACGTGGCACTGTGTGCACGCACCTCAATGGGCACTGCAGGGTCAGAGCAGGGCAGCCACCACACTGGGGTCCCTCCTGCCCCCTGACACAGCTCCAGCTCTGGAAAACCACAGATCCAGTGTGCTGAGCCATGCATAGAATGCTGCATGCCCTGCCTTGGGCTGACTCTGTCCTGGCTGCTGTGCTCCCCGTCCTGCTCTGGGATCAGCTCTCGAACATCCTAGAGGAGCTGAATGGATGCAGTGTCAGTATGAACAGCCTCATCACAAATAGTGTAGCTCTGTCACAGTTAAGCCTCTCCCAAGTGCTTTGCCTTGCAAACTGGTCTCCTTTTTGGGCTGGTGGCACTGGATGAGCTTTTTGGACCTTTCCAACCCAACCCAACCCTGGGATTCCATGATTCCATGGTGTAGTGAAGGGTGACTTGCCTGCTTTCCACTCCAGGTCCCTGTGCGTCCCCTGGGCCTCACTGAGGGGATGCCCTTGTCCTTGGGAGCCAGTTTTGGATGCCCCCCCATCTCTTGCCCTCATCCAGACTTGATAGTCATCTCTATCTTTGTGCTGGTGCTGGAGAACTTCCATGTGAGTGGTGCCTTTGGGATCAGCCCCTAGAGCATGGCTCCAATCCCCATCCTCATTCCTCTGCCCTGTCCTGGGCTCTTGGCCTTGGCAGTTCCCACTGCAGCCACGGGGATCATCACCCTCGTCATCTCCTCATCCTGTTACCAGAATTCCATCACAATCTTGGACTTTCTGTACTGTTCCGTCCCGAGGCAGGCTCTGTATTCATGTTCTGGTCTGTGTTTCCCGGCTGTCTGCAGGGCACTTGGGAACTGTCCCAGGCAAGAGGAAAGCTGCTCCCCCCACCCCAAGGGTCAAACTGTCCAGCCAAAACATCCTTGGAATTTAAACAATTGGAGCCCCATCCTGTTGGGAGCCTGGGGGGCTCTGAGGCTTCCACAGCACTGGAAGGCAGCTGGGGGAGCGGGACGTAGGGATGGGACAGAGCAGCTCCCCAGAGCCGGATGGAGCCCACCGTGGGGTTTGGTACCATAACCACAACGTTGTGGTGCAGCCAGTGCTGTGTCCCTTCCTGCAGGGGAGAAGGTTCTCTGGTGCATGGAGGGAGCTTGACCCCAGAGCTCTTGCCCTGGCGTTGCTCTGACAGCAGCTCCAAACAGAGCTGTCCCATTGCAATGGGTGGAAGTTGCTGTGGAGACAGACACAGGATGTGAACGTGTCCCGGTGCAGTATCCTCCCCTCTGGGCAGAGCTGGCTCCATTTGCATCCCCGAGCCCAGGGCAGGTGCTGGAACACTGGGAGAGCAGAAGCCAGGCCATGGGGTGATGCCAGCCCCCAGGGGTGGTGGTCATGGTGCCTGTGGTGGTGCTGAGCGGGTGAGCAGGATGGGGACAGGGAATCCTGCTAAAACTGGTGGGATTTTGTGAGGCGCTGGCACAGGGTGGCCAGAGAAGCTGTGGCTGCCCCATCTCTGGCAGTGTTCAAGGCCAGGTTGGACACAGGGGCTTGGAGCAAGCTGCTCTAGTGGAAGGGGTCCCTGCCTGTGGCAGGGAGTTGAAACTGGAGGAGCTTTAAGGTCCCTTCCAACCCTGATCAGTCTGGGGGTTCCGTGATTCACAATGGTTCAGGTTCTGCAGTGATTCCTTCAGCTCCTGTCAGCCCTTTCTGGCCTGGTTGCCACCTTATTCCCATCCTCAGTCCTGCTCAGGTCTCGGTGTCCTGAGGGCACATCCAGCTGGAAGGAGCGGCTCTGTCTCTTCGCTGTCCAACTCTTGGCGACTCCCCCAGTGCCAGGAATTTTCCACAGCTCCTCAACAGCCAAATGCTGAGGAAACAGAGGAAAAACCCCTTGAGACCTCAACCCCCCCCCCCGGGGAGTCCTGGGCTGATGCTGGAATTACCCCCCTGGCCCTGGTGTGTGGAAAGTCCCAGGGATGGGCAGAGCTGTGTCTGGAGCTGCCTGAACTGTGGAGCTGGTGCAGGTGTTTTCCAGCTGCTGGTCCCAGGGGAGCGGTGCCACCTCTTGGAGGGGACGTGGGGCTGGGACACAGCCCTGGCTGCATGCAGGTTACCTTCCATCATTCCCAGTGCTATTCCAGTGCCTGGGTGTGACCACCAGCACCTCGATGGCTGCAGGGGCAGAGCAGAGCCCAGCCCATCACTGCCCTGTGCTGGGAGCTCCTGAGGCTTTGCGATGGCTGCAGGGTGTGTGGGGGGTGCCCATCTCGGCCAGGGGGACATGGAACAATGGAATGGTTTGTGTTGAAGGGACCTTAAAGCTCATCCAGTTCCAGCCCCTGCCACGGGCAGGGACACCTTCCGCTAGAGCAGCTTGCTCCAAGCCCCTGTGTCCAACCTGGCCTTGAACACTGCCAGGGATGGGGCAGCCACAGCTTCTCTGGGCACCCTGTGCCAGCGCCTCAGCACCCTCACAGGGAAGAGCTTCTGCCTTATCTCCAACCTGAACTTCCCCTGTTTCAGTTTGAACCCATCAGCCCTTGTCCTGTCACTACAGTCCCTGATGAAGAGTCCCTCTCCAGCATCCTTGTAGCCCCCTTCAGACCCTGAAGCCACTCTGAGGTCTCCACGCAGGTTCTCTTCAGGCTGAACAGCCCCAATGTTCTCAGCCTGTCCCCATACAGGAGGTGCTCCAGCCCCTGTACATCCTCATGGCCTCCTCTGGACCTGCTCCAACAGCTCCATGTCCTCGTGTTGGGGACACCAGCACTGCACACAGTGCTGCAAGTGGGGTCTCGCAGGGCAGAGGAGAGGGTCAGGATCCCATTGTTTGACCTCCTCCTGACGCAGCCCCTGCCCTCTCTTGCAGTTCTGCCAGCCCAGTGGTTGGCAGCTCTTCACGGAGAGGAACCCCCCGACCTTCTTCGTGGCCGTGCTGACAGACATCAACTCGGAGCGGCACTACTGCGCCTGCTTCACCTTCTGGGAGCCCATCGAGAGCGCCCAGGTACTGCGGGTGGGAAGGGATGAAGGCAGCCTCTGGCTTCGGCTGTGCCTGGGCCAGGGGAACCCAGGCTCCGGTGTTAGATCCTGGGGGAGGGAAGAGCTCCTTTTCCTTACCCTGGGCCTTGTCTCGTAGCCTCAGAGCCACCCCAGGAATGGTGATGGGGAGGAGGAGGAAGAGCCATCATCTCCTGTTCAACCTGCGCAGCTCTTTGCTCCCAAAAGCTTGGTCCTGGTGTCACGGCTGGACCATGCGGAGGTGTTCAGGGTAAGTATGAAGTGCTCTGGGCAGGGGCAGTAGGGTCTCTGCTGGGTGTGGAGAGGAGAGCAACGGTGGTGAAGGGTTTCTGGCTCTGGGAGCAACCTGGAGCCATGTAGTCGCTGCCGGAGCAGGAGGTGGTGGAGCACCGTGGCTCAGCGCCTATGGGAGAGCAGCCTGTTGCCAACCTGCTCCTTGCATCTTGGTCCAGCAGCTGAACCTGAACATCAACCCAAGGACTCGGTCACACCAGGCACCTGGCAGCCTTGACCTGGTTTGTGAGCAGAAGCAGCATAACCAACAGCCCATTCCTGTGGGAACATTGCTCCTTGCCATGGGAATGTTCCCCAGCCCTGCTGCTTTCTGTGCTTGGGGAAGAGGTGTGAGGACGGGTGCAGGCTGGGCTCTGTGTGTTGTGTCAGCTCCATGGCTGGACAGGGGGTGGTCACCTCCCCACACCCATCACACTGCCTGCCTCATGCTCCAGAGGAGGAGCCCACTTAAGATTGATGGAGGCTCAGAGGAGGGCAGCGTGCTCCAGACCAATGTTTCTCCCTGCTTTACCCTCCCGCTGTGGGATCCCAGTGCTGGGCTCTGCCCTGTTCCTGCACATCTTGTTCACACCGGCTCTGTGAATGGAGCACAGGCTGTTCCCGTGGGACACATAGTGCTCAGGGCATTAATAACTGACAAGGGTAAAAAATCACTCCCAGCTCTGGCTGCAGCTGCTGCAAAGAGCACAAAACCTGGGCTTTGCAGACTCACAGCTCTAAAAACCCACACAGCCGAGGCTAGAGGCACCTCTGGAGGTCCCTGGCCCAACCCCTGCTTGCGCTGGGTCAGCTGGAGCAGGTTGTCCAGGGGGTCATAGAGCCGTGGAATGGTTTGTGTTGGGATGGATCTTAAAGCTTGTCCAGCTCCAGCCCCTGCCACAGGCAGGGACACCTCCCACTAGAGAAGGTTTCTTCAAGCCCCTGTGTCCAACCTGGCCTTGAGCACTGGCAGGGATGGGGCAGCCACAGCTTCTCTGTCACCCTGTGCCAGCGCTTCAGCACCCTCACAGGGAGGAACTGCTTCCAGTTGAGGTCTGAAAACCGAGGGCTGGGCAGCATATGAGGAAAGGGTGAAAACGGGAATGCTCAGCCTGGAGAAAAAAAGGCTCCAGGGAGACCTTATCTCCATGTCCCACTATTTGAGGGTGTCTACAAAGAAGATGGAGACTCCCTTTGTACAAGGAGTCCCATGTCCCAGTTCTGACTAGATATGAGAAAAATTGTTCCCACTGAGGACCACCAGCCATTGCAGTGATCTCCCTGGGGAAGTGGTGACTCCCCAGCACTGGACACTGTTAAGACTGGGCTGGACATGGTGTTCAGACATCTGGTCTAGATGATGCTTTGCCTGGAAGGGTTGGAGCAGATGATCCCTGAGGTCTCTCCCCACCTGGGATCCATGCTCCATGATGCTGTGCTGTGTTTTCCTCTCCAGAACAGTCTGGGCTTGATCTACACCATCTACGTGGACGGACTGAGCGTGTCCCTGGAGAATGTCATTGGGAACCTGCTGACCTGCACCATCCCCATCACTGGTGGAGCTCAGGTGAGTGCTCAGCCCCTTCCTCATCCGCTTCGTGCCTCTGCCCCTGAGCAGCTCTGGCAGAGGCAGAGGGGTTCCTCAGCTCTATATGGGTGCTGTGCTGGGGGAGCTGAGCGAGGCTGACGTGTGCTGGCAACCAGGAGCTGCTGAAGTGCTTGGCTGGTGCCTTCCCAAGCTCTTGAGAGCAGAAACAACAGAGCTCTGTGGTTCCAAGCTCCTCAGCTCCTCCAGCAGCTGAGATCCTGCTGCTTCGCTGCCTTTTAGCTTGCCATGACTGGGCAGCTTGGCCCTGGCTCCTTGCTCTCTCCACTTGCATAGTCACTGATGGGTTTGTGCACACGGTTGCCATGGTCCATGCTCATTCCTGCACTGGGGAGGTCCTGCTGCTCCACTCAGCCCCATCTGAGTGCCTGGAGAGCTGCTTCAGAGCCAAGTGGTCATGGGCCATCTGTGAGAGCAGGGGGACAGGCCAAGCAAGGCCAGCATTGGCCAGATGAGCAGCTTGGGGCTCTCTCCTCAACCCACTGGCCTGTGCCTGTGCAGGCAGCAGCTCTGATGGACAGGGCTTGAGAAGCAGCAGCTTTGCTTGTGCCCAGAGGTGAAGCCATCAGAGACAACCTCCTGTTGTCCCTTCCAAGCCATGTGTCCCCTCCTGCTGGGGCAGGGCCAGATGGGCTCAGCCTTGCTAAGCAGATGGGTGAGGAAGGGCTGGAGCTGCCTGGAGATGGCAGGAATGGAGAGAGCCCAGCTGGGCCCTCTGGCAGGAGGTGTTTGGAAGCAGCAGCGTAATGCCCTGCAGCTCCTGTGCCATGCCAGCACCTCAGACGTAGCCATGGACGTGTTGTTTGCTGCGGTGGCTTCACTTCCAGCTGAACTCCACTTCCCCCAGCAAAAAACACCATTAAATTCCCCCCTACCCTGTGGAGGAGCCTTCATAGGGCTGGGGCAGCACCTCAGGTCCCTGGGGCCCACAGACAGAGGTTTCTTCCCTTGCTGCAGCCCGTGAGCCTGGGGGGAAGCTGCTTTCTTGGACCCAGGTGTCTGTGAAGGCTTCCTGGGTTGGTGCTTTCTGCTGGGCAGGAGTGGTGCCCCTTGAGCTGCTGTAACTGCCTGGCACAGGCTTGGATGTCCCTCTAATCATCCAGAGCGACTGGGAGAGCACCAGTGGTCCTGGTGCTTCATGGACATAAAATCATAGAATGAACCACAGCCTGGTTTTTGTTGAAAGGGACCTTAAAGCTCATCCAGTTCCGACCCCTGCCACGGGCAAGGACCCCTTCCACTAGAGCAGCTTGCTCCAAGCCCCTGTGTCCAACCTGGCCTTGAACACTGCCAGGGATGGGGCAGCCACAGCTTCTCTGGGCACCCTGTGCCAGTGCCTCAGCACCCTCACAGGGAAAAGCTTCTGCCTTATCTCTAACCTGAACTTCCCCTGTTTCAGTTTGAACCCATCAGCCCTTGTCCTATCACTACAATCCCTGATGAAGAGTCCCTCTCCAGCATCCTTGTAGCCCGCTTCAGGCACTGGAGCTGCTCTCAGGTCTCCCCTTCAGGAGCCTTCTCTTGTCCAGGCTGACCCAGCCCAGCTCGCTCAGCCTGGCTCCAGAGCAGAGCTGCTCCAGGCCTGATCATCCTCATGGCCTCCTGTGGCCTCGCTCCAACAACTCCACATCCCTCTTGTGCTGTTGCCCCAGAGCTGGACCCTGGTCCAGGTGTCTCAGGAGAGGATGGGTGCTGGCCATACCCAAGCCTCTGCAGAAGGAGCAGGGTGCTGCCCCTGCCAGGCTGTGTGCCAGGTGCCACGGCTCTGCACTGTGGCGTTCCTGCAGGATCTGCCCAGCTCTGTCCGACTCCATCTGGTTCCTCCCAGTGCACCAAGTGAGCAGCAGCATGGGAGGCAGCAGGGCAGCTCTGGAGCCGCTGTGCCTCGCTGTGTGGCACTCCTTGGCACAATTACTGCCACCTCCCAGTTCCTGCAGGTCTCTGTGCTGTGGGAACAAGCTCGTGGGGCACTTCCCTGTTCTCCTGCTGCGTCCCAGTGCTCCATCTCTCCGTGGTCTCTGTTGCCTTGGCTCCATGTGTGTGTTTGTGCATCTCCTCACTCCGGGTGCGTTCCCAGCTCGCTGTCAGCCCTGCCTGTGTCCTCCCTCCCTCCCCTGTCTCCTGTGCTGTCTCTAACTTACTGTGCCATCTCTGTCTCTGTCCCAGCCTGACGCGGAGGATGAAGCAGCGGTACGCACACCTTTTCCTTCCTGGGGTCGGTCTCCTCCTTAACAACCTCTCTAACTGTCTGTGAGGGTGACACATGCTGTGGCCGGGGCAGAGCTGGAGGCCTGGGCACTGCTAGTACCTTGGGTGTGTGTCTGTGTGTGCTGCACTGGTGCAGCACTGCTGGGACTGGGCTCTGGGGGGTTCAGTCCTGCTCTGCAGCAGCCACCCTGTGAGCTGGGGTGGTGCAAACACCCTCGGCTGCTCTGGAGGATGAGGTCAGGGGTGTTTGATCAGCTCTTCCAGGGCTGCAGTGTTCGGAATCATGGAGTCATTGAGTGGTTCGGGTTGAAGGGACCTTAAAGATCCAGTTCCACAGGCAGGGACACCTTCCCCTAGAGCAGGTTGTTCTGAGCCCTGTCCAGCCTGGCCTTGGACACTGCCAGGGATGTGGAAAGCAGATCTGTGGCTGTTGCAGTGGGTTGCATGGTGAAAGCTGCTATTGCAGGCATGTCCTCCCTGGAGAGATGTAGAAAGAGGAGGAGAGGGCAGTGAGCTGCAGCCTGGGACATGTGAAGGCTGCCCTGTGCCACTGGGAATGAGCTGAGGTCTGGGTAAAAAGTTGTACTGGGGGAGAAGCAGTGAGAGTGTGTCCAGTGTTTCTGGTGTCTGTCCCCAGCCCAGGAGCCATCAGTACCCTGTCTGGTCAGGGAGGCTGGTGCTGCTCCCTTGCCAGGCAGCACTGGTGGGCATGGCACAGGCGAGCTCTTCCCTTCTGCTTATCATGGAATCCCAGAGTGGTTTGTGTGGGAAGGGACCTTAAAGCTCACCCACTTCCAACCCCCTGCCACAGGCAGGGACACCTTGCCCTGGAGCAGGTTGCTCCAAGATTTATTGAAGCTCCTCATGTGCTTGTCACTGTGCAGGTCTCAGGGCTTGCTGCCATCACGGTGTTGCTCGTGCTGTCCAGGAGTGACGGCTGTTTTGGGAGCTCCCATTCCCCCCTGTAGCCCATGTCCCCAGTCAAACACAATGTGTGATGTTGCAGGCTCCTCTTCCCTCTTCCTGCAGCAGCCATGGTGTCACAAGGCAGTGTGTTGTGGTGGGATGTGCTGCACCCTGTGAGGGTGGTGCTGAGGACACAGTGGTCCTGGCCCTGCTCTGGGGGGCACTCAGGCTGTCGCTGCCTGCCCTCGGTGTGTGGCTGTGCCCGGTGACGTGTGTGTGCTCCCTTGCAGAGAACCATCTCGCTGGGAGCCGGGGACCGGCAGGTGATCCAGACACCCATCAGCGACTCGCTCCCGGTCAGCAGCTGCAGCGTGGCGCTGCTCTTCCGCCAGCTCGGTGAGACTGATGTACCCCAGAGCCCCTCACACCAGCGCACCCTTCCCCTGGCACCCCCTTCCACCAGTGCCCTGTGCCTGTAGGACCTCCTTCCCCTGGGTGCCTTTTTGCCTAGGCCGGGCCAGAGCCCCCTGTGTCAGCCTGGCTGGAGATCCCACCCTGCTCCTCAGCTTGGTGGGTCACACAGGGCTCCTCCAGCCTCAGATGGAGCCCTCCTGGCCCTGCTTTGCCTCCCTTTCCCCAGCAGGGCAGGGACTGGCAGATCATGGAACAATGGAATGGTTTTGGTGGGAAGGGACCTGAAAGCTCTGCCAGCTCCAACCCCTGCCATGGGCAGGGACACCTTCCACTAGAGCAGCTTGCTCCAAGCCCCTGTGTCCAACCTGGCCTTGAACACTGCCAGGGATGGGGCAGCCACAGCTTCTCTGGGCACCCTGTGCCAGCGCCTCAGCACCCTCACAGGGAAGAGCTTCTGCCTTATCTCCAACCTGAACTTCCCCTGTTTAAGTTTGAACCCATCAGCCCTTGTCCTATCACTACAGTCCCTGATGAAGAGTCCCTCTTCAGTATCCTTGTAGCCCACTTCAGACGCTGGAAGCAGCTCTGAGGTCTCCACGCAGGTTCTCTTCTCCAGGCTGAACAACCCCAACTTTCTCAGCCTGGCTCCATATGAGAGATGCTCCAGCCCTGATCATCCTCATGGCCTCCTCTGGACGTGCTCCAGCAGCTCCGTGTCCTTATGCTGGAGACACCGGAACTGCACACAGTGCTCCACATAAAGATGTGTGGCCAGATCCCACAGGACCTGGGCTGGGTGGCAAAAAGGGGTGCCCAGAGTGTGCTGCCATTGGCCCTATGCCTGTGATTGATGACACCAGCACCTCAGGAAGACACCTCTCTCCCAGAACAGGGGCTTCCATTGGAAGCACATCCCGGAAGTGGCTCTTTGGGTGATGTTGAGCTCCTCTGTGGTGCAGAGTTGGAGATGAGGGATGGGATCCATGCGGGGGTCGTTGCTCTCTGGTGGGTGCAGGAGGTGACCCTCATTTCTGAGCTCTCCTGTGTTTTCTCCCAGGCATCACCAACGTGCTGTACCTGTTCTGTGCCGCGCTGACCGAGCACAAGATCCTGTTTCTGTCCAGCAGTTACCAGCGGCTGACGGACGCCTGCCGGGCTCTGCTCGCACTCATGTTCCCCCTCAAGTACAGGTGAGGGCACCCAGAGCACCCCGAGCCCTCAGCCCTCCACAGCCACCAAGAGCTGCTGCCAGGCCATAGTCACAGCATCATGGGATGAATCCCAGGCAGGTTTGTGTTGGAAGGGACTTTAAAGCTCATCTGGTCCCAGCCCCTTGCCACAGGCAGGGACACCTTCCACTAGAGCAGCTTGCTCCAAGCCCCTGTGTCCAACCTGCCCTTGAACACTGCCAGGGATGGGGCAGCCACAGCTTCTCTGGGCACCCTGTGCCAGCGCCTCAGCACCCTCACAGGGAAGAGCTTCTGCCTAAGAGCTCATCTCAGTCTCCCCTTGGGCAGATTAAAGCCATTCCGCTTGGCCTGTCCCTACAGGCCCTTGTCCAAAGCCCCTCTCCAGGTTTCTTGTAGCCCGTTTAGGCACTGGAGCTGGTCTGAAGTCTCCCCTTCAGGAGCTTTCTCTTCTCCAGGCTGACCCAGCCCAGCTCTCTGAGCCCTTCAGACAAGACACGTTCTGCAGCCTCACAAGGTTCCTGAAGGCTCATAGGTGCTGACCATGGTCATTCTCTGGCCCTGGAGTTATAATCTCAGTCCAACCAAGGGAAAGGTTTCCAGGAGATCAGTGGAACTCCCAAAGGAAGCTTTCTTTGGGATACAAGCAGCCTTTCTGCAGGTGGGGGTACTGCAGGCCAGCATGGATAGAGCACAGCAGGAGCTGCAGCACAATGGCCCATCTATCTGAGCTGCCCTGCCTGGGGGACGTGCAGACAGCCCCGGTAGTGGCCAGTCCATGGCCTAGATAGTGGGGTGCCAGTGTCCACAGGAGCCACCACAGTGGCTTGGCCACCGCTGCCACCACCTTAACAAGAGCCCTGTTATGTGCTTTGCCCTGTCTAGGGTGGGCAGAGGTTGCACCAGGCTTTCTGGAAGTTTCCCAGTGTCCTCGTTCAGTGTCGTGCCCAGGGCTGGGATGGATGGGTGCCAGTGGAAGTGGTGCACCGGGGCTCTGTGCTCTGTAATGCAGCTGGGAGAAGGGGAATGGGATGGATTCTGGGGAGAAAAGCTCCATGGGGTGATAACACACTGCTGAACCACATTCAAGAGCCTGGTGGGCTGCTCCCCTCTGTCAGGGGTTGCCACAGCCTGGAAAAGCACATGGCAGCAGGTCCTGGAGCTACAGACACTGCTGGTGATGCTCTGGTGCCTGCTTCCAGTAATAGAGCTCCAGGCTTGCCATAGGGAGGGAGGTGTGGAAGGTTCACACCTCTTCACTGCTGTGGATACTGGAATTACACTGCTCTGCACACCAGAGGTGTCAGGAAAGGAGCTGTCAGCACAGCTAAGACCTGTGGGCATTCACCTCCTTGCCCCTTTGCCAGCAGGGCCCAAAACACAGTTATTTACCCATCATTAGGGCCATGGAGCTGCTGCGAGAGCTGGAGCAGCTCTGCTCTGTAGGTGTTCAGGGACAGGCCAAGGGGAATGGCTTTAACCTGCCAGAGGGGAGATTGAGATGAGCTCTTAGGCAGAAGCTTTTCCCTGTGAGGGTGCTGAGGCGCTGGCACAGGGTGCCCAGAGAGGCTGTGGCTGCCCCATCCCTGGCAGTGTTCAAGGCCAGGTTGGACACAGGGGCTCGGAGCAAGCTGCTCTAGGGGAAGGGGTCCCTGCCTGTGGCAAGGGGTTGGAATTGGAGGAGTTCTAAAGGTCCTTCTAACACAAACCAGGCTGGGGTTCTGTGGCTGAGCGTGCTGGGGGAAGGCCTGCAGTCACCCCCGCCTCCAGAGGTGGGCTCAGCAGTGCTGAGGATGGGTTCAGAGCAGGGTTTCACTGGCTGCAGTGATGCTCTCCTTTGGTTGCAGCTTCACGTACGTGCCCATCCTGCCCGCGCAGCTCCTCGAGGTGCTGAGCACACCAACACCCTTCATTATCGGAGTGCACTCCATCTTCCAGTCAGAGACACAGGAGCTGGTGAGACTCTAGGACCCCCGTTCCTTGCACCAGGATCGGGATCGGGAGGGAGAAGCAGGGGTCGAGCTCCAGCTCTCAGCCGGGAGCAACCACTGTCCTTAGGCTGAGCTCACTCAGGCCTGCCTTGCTGAGTCCAGGCTGTGCTCCAGCCATGCTGTGCCAAGCTTGGGATCAGCCAGGGAATTGCTTTGGGAGCTGAGAGCTGCTCCGAGAGACCGTGCTGGCACTTGAGGCTGCAGGACCTGAGTGAAACCAAAGTGTACCGGGGCCACTCCCAACTGCAGCAGCTTCTGTGCAGCCTCCGAAACACCCCCATCCCAGTGCTGCTGTGGTGGAGCAGGGCCAGGGGCTGATAGAAAGCACCAAGCCACAGTCTGCCTGCTGAGCAGAGCTGTGTCCCCCCTCCATCAGGTTGTCCTCCCGTCACTGTCCTGGGAGGTGGCGATTTGTAGGTTGTGTGTTGGCAAATGCTTGGGTTTGGTGGCAGTGGATAAAGAGCATAACTACTGAAGGCTTAGAGTGACCGCAGGAGATGGAGAGCGGGGACACACAGCATTCCCAAGCCCCCCTCCTGAATGGGGCTCCCCCCCAGCTCTCCATGGCCCACTGGAGGTGGCGGAGAGGGTGCAGCGAAGCCTGGCCTTGTCTCATGCCTTGTCCTGCCTCTTCCAGCTGGATGTTGTCATTGCGGACCTGGATGGCGGGACAGTGAATGTCCCCGAGTGTGTGCACATCTCCCTGCTCCCTGAGCCTCTGCTCCAGCAGACCCGGGAAGCCCTTTCCATGGTGAGTGTGTCCCTGTGTCCTGTCGGCAGGGTGCCAGGCCTTGGGAATGACATGTATTTCCAGGGGGAGCTGGGAATGGAGCAGCAGGAACTCCTCTGACAGCATAATTCCGCACCTCGGGGTCCCAGTGACCATCTCACAGCAGACCTGTCCCCATGCTGACAGCCTCTGCTGCGTGGCAGTGCCGGAGGAAGGTTCTGCTGCCAAAGGTTTCTGGGAATGGGGTGCTGGCTCCCAGCCCATGTATGGGAGGAAGCAGCTGCAGCCCTGGAGCTTTCCTGCTGCTGCTGTGTTCCCAGAGCCCTGTGGCCATCGGAGTGTGCCCAGGGCAGCTGCGCCACACACGTGCTGCATCCGCAGCTCCTGCTGCTCAGCTCCAGCCCCAGCCCTCCACAGGGACCATCCCAGAGCTGGAGAGGTGCCCCCTTCCCACTGTCCCCAAAAGCAGAGCACCAGTGGTGCTGCTGTCTGCTGGCTCCAGCCCTCGTCATTTCCACACCCACAGACCTGTCCTGTGGGTGCTTTTGGGTCTCTGGGGAATCACAGGATCCCAGACTGGTTTGGGTGGAAGGGATCTTAAAGCTCATCCAGCTCTAACCCCCCTGCCGTCAGCAGGGACACCTTCCACTAGACTCACAGGGAAGAGCTTCTGCCTAAGAGCTCATCTCAGTCTCCCCTCTGGCAGGTTAAAGCCATTCCCCTTGGCCTGCCCCTACAGGGCCCTGTCCAAAGCCCCTCTCCAGGTTTCCTGTAGGACCCTGTATGTACTAGAAGACTGTTAGAAGGTCTCCCCAACGCTGCTTTGCTTTTTCCAGCTGTGAAGGTAAAGGTTCCTGAGGGTGCTTTGTGCCTTGTCTGTGCAGGTCCTGGACCCAGAGCTGGAGGTGGCAGATCTTGCATTCCCCCCTTCAACAATTTCTGTCTCTTCTCTCAAAATGCAGGTGAGTGGAGTCGGCAGGATGGCACCCTCCTGTGAGCTGTCATTCCTGATGGACACCTTGTTTCTGGGCATGGAGTGGGCAGGCAGCTCAGCCTGTCTCCATCTCAGTGCTGTTGAGGTTAAGAGGCAAAGAGAGCACAGGACTGCAAGGCACTGAGGCCACGGCTCTGAGCCATGGCCTGGAACTAGTGGTGCCCTTTCGGTAGCTGCTGGGTTTACTGGAGACAGACACTGAATATTTGGGTGCTTCAGCAAACCCTGGGCTCTGAGAGCTGCCTTGTCCTCTGTGTGCAGTGTCAGGGGTGCTGGGAAGGGACACAGGATCACGGGATACCAGACTGGTTTGTGTTGAAGGGTACTTAAAGCTCCTCCAGTTCCAACCCCTGCCATGGGCAGGGACCCCTTCCACTAGAGCAGCTTGCTCCAAGCCCCTGTGTCCAGACTGGCCTTGAACACTGCCAGGGATGGGGCAGCCACAGCTTCTCTGGGCACCCTGTGCCAGCGCCTCCGCACCCTCACAGGGAAGAGCTTCTGCCTAAGAGCTCATCTCAGTCTCCCCTCTGGCAGGTTAAAGCCATTCCCTCTTGTGCTGTCCTTACAGGCCCTTGTCCAATGCCCCTCTCCACATTTCCTGTGGAGCTGCTCTAAGGTCTCCCCTTCAGGAGCCTTCTCTTCTCCAGGCTGACCCAGCCCAGCTCTCTCAGCCCAGCTCCATAGGGAGTCAGAGCAGTGAACCCAGCCTGCGGGGTCCATTTTTCCCTGTAACCTGCTGAGCTTCCTGCCTGGCTCAGCAGACACTGACCCTAACACAAGGTTTGATCCCTTCACCTCTGTGCTGCTGTAAACTCCTACTGCTATGAGCTGGATCATCTGCACCCTTAGCCTGACTGTGCTGTGACCATGCTGTGACCATGATGTCCTTCCCCGTTCTCAGGACAAGGAGATCCGTGCTGTCTTCCTCCGCCTGTTTGCACAGCTGCTGCAGGGCTACCGCTGGTGCCTGCACATCATCCGCATCCATCCTGAGCCCGTCATCAGGTTCCATAAGGTGAGTGCTGGCACTCTGGGGTGTTCCAACTGGATCGGGGCTGAGCTGGGGACAGCTCTTGGAGCTGGGAGCATTGGGATGGGAAAGGGAGCAATCCTTTGGAGCCCATCAGGGAGCCTGGTTTGGAGGTAACTCAGCTCCATCTCCTCTGTGGTCTCCTGCCATAGAACCATGGAATTATGGAATGGTTTGTGTTGGAAGGGACCTTAAAGCTCATCCAGTCACAAACCCCTGCCATGGGCAGGGACACCTTTCACTAGAGCAGCTTGCTCCAAGCCCCATCCAACCTGTCCGCAGAATTATTGTTCCAAACTGTCCTCTGGAATAACACCTTTCCAGGTACACTGGGGAGGAGTTTGGGATGAGGTTTGCACAAATACAGCCCTATCTAGAAACAGTGCTGTGTTTGCACAGTGACCTCTGCATCACTCCCAGCTCCACCTGCATCCCTTGTTTGTCCTTGGCCATCCCGAAGTCTTGAGGATCAGGTGGTGCTTCCTGGTTTATACCCATGTGTGGTCAGTGCACTGCTGCCAGCATCCTGATGCCTTAGAGCCTCCCGGAATGCGTCCCTCACATCCTGGCTGAGGATTTTCCCTGCATCTGGGGAGAGGAAGGAGGAAGGAGCTGCCTTCCCTATTGCTTCTCTTGTGGCAGATCTACCAGAAGGGCTGGCAGGGCAGGGAGAGCAGGAAATAGCTTCAGAATGTCTCATGGTCCCTGCCATTGGAAGCAGCAGCATGTTCATAAGGGCTTTGAGCTGTACTTTTCCCAGCAGGTGCCCAACAAAGATTCACTGGTTCCATGAAATCATAAACCTGCAATAAACTGAAAATGCCCGTCATAAAGTGCCATAAAGTGAGTGAAAGATAATGATGAACTTCCAGGTCATAACAGCCAGGTCAGGGAGGGGATTGTCCTCTCTGCTGCGCTTTGGGGAGATCCACCCTGCAGTCCTGATCCAGCTCTGGTGCAGCAGCACAAGAGGGACGTGGAGCTGTTGAAGCGAGGCCAGAGGAGGCCATGGAGATGCTGCGAGGGCTGGAGCAGCTCTGCTCTGGAGCCAGGCTGAGAGAGCTGGGCTGGGGCAGCCTGGAGAAGAGAAGGCTCCTGAAGGGGAGACCTGAGAGCAGCTCCAGTGCCTGAAGGGGCTGCAGGAAATGTGGAGAGGAGCTTTGGACAAGGGCCTGCAGGGACAGGCCAAGGGGAATGGCTTTAACCTGCCAGAGGGGAGACTGAGATGAGCTCTTAGGCAGAAGCTCTTCCCTGTGAGGGTGCTGAGGCGCTGGCACAGGGTGCCCAGAGAAGCTGTGGCTGCCCCATCCCTGGCAGTGTTCAAGGCCAGGTTGGACACAGGGGCTTGGAGCAAGCTGCTCTAGTGGAAGGTGTCCCTGCCCGTGGCAGGGGTTGGACCTAGATGAGCTTTAAGATCCCTTCCAACACAAACCAGTCTGGGGTTCTGTGGTTCTGTGGTGAAATCACTCTGTGCAGAATGACCCGAATGTCACTCATTTAGCTGCTTTGGTCACTGCAACGTCTGTGCTTCCCACTGTGGGTTCAGGACCACAGGACTCTGCACCCGCTGTGGTGCCGTGCTATGGCTCTGGCATCAAGTCCTGCACCTCTGAGCTCCATCCCGTGGCAAGGGGCTGCTCCAGAGAGGCAAGGAGGGCAAATGATGTGGAGCCCTCAGTGTCGCTTGAAGGCATGTGATGAGCTGTAGTGGGTGGTTCTGGGGTGGGATGAGGTCTCACGTTCATCTGCCAAGGGCCCAAGTAGCTTTCAGCAGACACAGCAAACCTGGTGCTTCTCCCTTTGTGGTGCCAGCCAGAGGCTCCTTCAGAGCCGTGCTGGGGATGATTTGGGGCGGGCAGCCATTGCTCAGGTGAGCTGCTGACTGTGCTCTCCCCTGTTGCAGGCAGCATTCCTTGGGCAGAGAGGGCTGACGGAGGATGACTTCCTCACCAAGGTGCTGGAGGGAATGGCCTTCGCCGGCTTCGTCACGGAGCGCGGGGCTCCGTACCGCTCCATCGACCTGTTTGATGAGGTGAGAGGGGCAGCTCGGGAGCAGTCCCCCGCCTGCCCTGGCTGTGCTTGCTCTGTTCTCCCTGCCCCAGTGGCCTGAGCTGGGGATGTGCCATGATGCTCCGGCCGCAGCATTGCACCGGGATGTGGGAATGGTGTCCGGATCCTGCGGGAGCTGCTCCTCTCACCTGTGTCCTCTGCCCCCAGCTCGTGGCTTACGAAGTGAAGCGCATGCGTGCAGAGGAAGGGAACAAGCAGAAGATCCTGAGGCACATCAAGGAGCTGGCGGAGAAGCTTTACAAGAACGTGAGTCCTGGAGGTCCCAGTGCAGGGGGAGCTGCTCGGGCCTGAGCCCCATTGCTCTGTGCTCCCTCCATAAGGTCTTGCTGGAAGTGATGCTCCCAGTGTGTGATGCTGTGGTGGGAGGGACCTGTCACGAGGAGGAGACCACGAGGATGATCAGGGGCTTGAGCATCTCTCACACAAAGACAGGCTGAGAAAGCTGGGGCTGTGCAGCCTGGAGAAGAGAAGGCTGTGTGGAGACCTCAGAGCAGCTTCCTGGTATCTGAAGGGGGCTGCAAGGATGCTGGAGAGGGACTCTTCATCAGGGACTGTAGTGACAGGACAAGGGGTGATGGGTTCAAACTGAAACAGGGGAAGTTCAGATCTAAGGAAGAAGTTCCTCTCTGTGAGGGTGCTGAGGTTCTGGCACAGGGTGCCCGGAGAAGCTGTGGCTGCCGCATCCCTGGCAGTGTTCAAGGCCAGGTTGGACACAGGGGCTTGGAGCAAGCTGCTCTAGTGGAAGGTGTCCCTGCCTGTGGCAAGGGGTTGGGACCAGAGGAGGTTTAAGGTCCCGTTCAACCCCACACATTCTGTAACTCCTTGATGTACCCAGCAGTATCTGGCTGGTGTGAGCTACTCCCAGGAGCGGGATTCCTCACTTTTGGATTACATGGGCGTCCAGCACTCCATGCCTTTGCTTTGGGGCAGCCACTGCCTTGTTGCCTGATCCAGGGCTGGCCAGCAAAGGTCTTCTGAAAGCAGAGCAGCACCTGTGGGGCCTTTGGCCATCTCATGATGGAGCTTCTGAACAGTACTTAGCTCACTGCTGTGTTCAGGATCAAAGTGACCTGTCCTTGAGGCTCCTTTCGAGCATCACTGCCCAGGGACCTGCCGTCAGGCCTGGGGGTTGTCCAGGGATTGTAGATACCATCTCGGGGAGCGCTGGGCCTCAGAGCACTGGAGGTTGCTGAAGGATGGGGGCATCTCCTGGGGCTCCTGCCCTGCGACAGGACCCGTGGTGTCCACAGGCCTGACAAGAGGCTGTGTTTGGTGTTCCAGGAGAACCCGTACCCCGCGGTGACCATGCACAAGGTACAGAAGCCCACGGAGGGCTGTCACCTGCGCCTGCACCAGAAGCCGTTCCCCCGGCTGGATGAGGGGACAGTGCAGTGGATCATCGACCAGGCCACCGCCAAGCTGCAGACAGCTCCTCCTGCTGTGAAGGCAGAGAAGAAATGCATGGTGCCGTCGGGGCCCCCCATCGGTGCGTCTGTGCTGAGGGACCTCCCTGCCCAGGAGGAGTTTTACTGTGGTGTACCAGCTTCTTGTCACACTATGGTGTGTCTGAGGGTCCCATGTGAGGAGTAAAATGCGCTTTGAAGAAGCAGCATCACTGTCCACATTTGCTTCTGCCCCCTTGGGGTGCTTAGAGCTCCCTGGGGTCTATAAGCCAGCATAGGGGATGGTTGAAGACCCCATAGTATTCCTTCAGGATGAGTTCCTGCCCATGCAGAACAGGGGAAGAAGCTGGAGAGGGGCTTTCAACAAGGGCAGGTTGTGATGAGAGAGAATGGGTTTAAACTGAAAGAGGAGAGATTAACATTGGATATAAGGCAGTTCTTCCCTGTGAGGGTGCTGAGGCGCTGGCACAGGGTGCCCAGAGAAGCTGTGGCTGCCCCATCCCTGGCAGTGTTCAAGGCCAGGTTGGACCGAAACCATTCCACAATTCCATGCTCTCTCCCCACCATGGGTGAAGCTCCTCCCCTGCTTGCACTAACAGGGGATTCTCTCCCCAGCTGCCATCATGGAGCGCAATGGCAATGCCCTGGCCAACAGCGCCCGGCGCCTGGAGGTGGTCAGGAACTGCATCTCTTACGTCTTTGAGAACAAGATGCTGGAAGCCAAAAAGGTGAGGGGGGTCCTGAGGAGCTGGTGGGTGAGGAGAGGAGAGACGGAGGTTGCTCTGCAGGGTCTGAGCTGGGGAAATAACCAGGCTGGGTCCTCCTCACCTTCCTCTGCGTGGGTTTGTGGCTTTGCCTCCCCATCCAAGTGCAGTGAGCTGCCTGCAGACACCCTGGCGCCAGCCAACAGCCAGAATGTGAAGCCCCCTCACTGTGGGCTGTCCTTGGGCTAACTCTGTGACCAGAGCTCCACCGAACCCCTCTTTCTCCTCCATGACTTCTTTCTCTGCAGCTCTTCCCCGCAGTGCTGCGTGCCATGAAGGGCCGAGCGGCCCGACACTGCCTGACCCAGGAGCTGAACCTGCATGTGCAACAGAACCGGGCAGTGCTGGACCACCAGCAGTTTGACTTCATCATCCGCATGATGAACTGCTGCCTGCAGGTAGGGCAGGGCTGGGAGAGCTTGTCTGCCCATGCAGACAGGGTGAGAGCTGGGCTGGGTCAGCCTGGAGAGGAGAAGGCTCCTGAAGGGGAGACCTGAGAGCAGCTCCAGTGCCTAAAGGGGCTGCAGGAAAGCTGGAGAGGGGCTTGGGACAAGGACCTGTAGGAACAGGCCAAGGGGAATGGCTTTAACCTGCCCAAGGGGAGACTGAGATGAGCTCTTAGGCAGAAGCTCTTCCCTGTGAGGGTGCTGAGGCGCTGGCCCAGGATGCCCAGAGAAGCTGTGGCTGCCCCATCCCTGGCAGTGTTCAAGGCCAGGTTGGACACAGGGGCTTGGAGCAAGCTGCTCTAGTGGAAGGTGTCCCTGCCCGTGGCAGGGGGTTGGAACTGAATGGCCTTTAGGGCTCCTTTCCACCCAACCCATTCCACGATTCTGTGGAACAGCAGAGCACAGGAGCCTGGGGGTCTTGTGGTGAAGCCTCTGTAAGCTCTGCTCTCTTCACTCCAGGACTGCACTGCCATGGATGAACATGGGATTGCAGCTGCTCTCCTGCCACTAGTCACTGCTTTCTGCCGAGTGAGTATCCGCAGTGTCCTCATGTCCTGACCCCGCACAGTCCCCACAGGCTCGGGAGTCCCTGAAGGCTGCAGGGGTGGGAACTGAGGACAGGTTGTGCTGAAGTTCTGTTCCCCCTTGTGCTTCCTCAGAAGCTGAGCCCAGGTATCACGCAGTTCGCCTACAGCTGCGTGCAGGAGCACGTGGTGTGGACCAACATCCAGTTCTGGGAGGCGATGTTCTACTGCGACGTGCAGAACCACATCCGAGCCTTGTACCTGGACAATAGCGAGGAGAACCACGCAGATGAGGTGAGGAGGTGACAGCAGTGACACAGGGGCCCTGTGGTCCACGGGTCAAGGAGGGTGAACTGGCTTGAGGTTCTGTGAGGTTTCTATGGAACACTGGGGGAAGGCTGGTAGGTCTGTTCATGAAGGTGACTGATCTTCCATCTCCTTCAGGAGAGCCCAGAGGAGCCACAGGAAGCCAAGTCGGCCTTGGAGATAGCATCGGAGCAGCTGAGGCTGTGGCCCACCATGAGCAGAGAGAAGCAGCAGGAGCTGATCCAGAAGGAGGAGAGCACTGTCTTCAGCCAGGCCATCCACTACGCCAACCGCATGAGCTACCTGCTGCTGCCCCTGGACACCAGCAAGAACCGCCTGCTCCGCAGCTCCGGCCTGGGCGACATGGAGAGTGTCAGCAACAGCTTTGTCACCAACAGGTCAGCAGGGCTGGGGAGTGGGGTGGGACACAGTAGCACTCAGGGCATCGGGATCGTTCAGTGGCTAGCAGGATGCAAGCAGCTTGCAGTGCCCAAGGGTGTTTCATGTCAAGAGTAGGAGTTCTCCTGTGTTCATATCACGGGTGGAAGCTCTCCTGGGTTGATATCAAGGGTGGAAGCTCCCCTGGGTTGATATCAGGAGTGGGAGCCCTCCTGGGTTCATATCAAGGGTGGGAGCTCTCCTGGGTTCGTAGCAGGTTCATATCAGGGGTGGGAGCTCTCCTGGGTTCATATCAAGGGTGGGAGCTCTCCTGGGTTCGTAACAGGTTCATATCAGGGGTGGGAAGTCTCCTGGGTTCATATCAAGGGTGGAAGCTCTCCTGGGTTGATACCAAGGGTGGAATCTTCCCTGTGTTCATATCAAGGGTGGGAGCTCTCCTGGGTTCATATCAAGAGTGGGAGCTCTCCTGTGTTCATATCAAGGGTGAAACTTCTCTTGGGTGCACATCAAGACTGGGAGCTCTCCTGGGTTTGTGTCAATGGTGGAAGCTCTGCTGGGTTCATATCAAGAGCAGGAGCTCTCCTGGGCTCTGTGTGGTGTGAGGACACAGCAGAGGAGATGTTGAGGGTTGACTCTTCCTGCTCCTCATGGCAGCATCGCTGGCAGCGTGGCTGAGAGCTATGACACAGAAAGTGGCTTTGAGGACGCAGAGAGTTCGGATGTGGCCAACTACGTGGTGAGGTTCATCAACCGCTTCGTGGACAAAGTCTGCACCGAGAGTGGAGTCACCAACGAGCACCTCAAGGGGCTGCACGTCATGATCCCTGGTAATACACCCTGCAGCAGTGCTGGGCACTGGGTAACTCTGTGGTAGCACTGGGAATCCTTCCACATCACCCCAGGGGGCTGCTCAGGAGATGGTTTTGCAAGAAGCAGTAGGAAGGGCAAGAGAAGGTGCTACAGGGTGGGTTGGCAGCATGCTTGGGTGCTGTGTAGGACAGGACTTTGCTCTCCATCTCTGTCTTCATGTTTGTCCACAGATATCGTGCAGATGCACATAGAGACACTGGATGCCGTGCACAGGGAGAGCAAGAGGCTTCCTCCCATCCAGAAGGTATGGAGCCAGCCTGCTGCTGTGGAAGGTTCTGGTGCTGTGGGAACCTTCAAATCCCCCTCCACAGTATACATGGGCCTGAACTTCCTATTGTACATCCTTGTAGCCAAAGCTGCTGCGCCCCAACCTGCTGGTGGGAGAGGAGTGTGTGATGGAAGGGCTCCGCGTGTACCTCATGCCTGATGGGCGGGAGGAAGCTGCTGGAGGGAATATTGGTGGCCCACCTCTGCTCCCTGCAGAAGGAGCCATCTTCCTCACCACGTACCGCATCATCTTCAAAGGCACTCCCACCGACCCCCTGGGTAAGGTCCTGTGTCCTCTGCCTCCTGGCATTGGTGGTGCCTGGGGAGGAGGTGGCTGGAGCAAATCTGGAGCAGGGCTGCAGCTCAGGACTGCAGAACCCCCTTGAGTGGGTTCCCAGCTAACACTGGGCCTTGCTGGGGGCTTCTACAACCACCACAAACTTCATGATTGTGCCCCACTACTACAAAGGAGGTGGTTGCTGTTGCTCTCTACATGTGGTAGATGATGATTCCTCAAGCCCATCCAAGGCATCCTATACAAGTCACCGTGGGCTGGCTGTTGAATGTCCAGCCTGCTTCTGGCCACTTCATCCTCCCTGTGGTGATGGCACACCTGGTTTGGGCTTGCACAGGGCTGAGGCCGTGTCTAACCTGTTCTATGCTTCTGCCCAGTGGGGGAGCAGGTGGTGATCAGGTCCTTCCCCATCGCCTCACTGACCAAAGAGAAGAAGATCAATGTCCAGGCCCAGGTGGATCAGTTCATCCAGGAGGGTTTGCAGCTGCGCTCGTGCACATTCCAGGTGAGGCCATGAGGGGCTGTGGGTGCTCCTGTGCATGGAACTGGTGTGTGGCCACGGCTCCACCAGCTCCTGGGACAAGGTACTACCCAGCTGTGGTGGTTTCATAGCACCGTGGAATCATGGAATGGGTTGGGTTGAAGGGACCTTAAAGCCCATCCATCTCCAACCCCTGCCACGGGCAGGGACACCTTCCACTGGAGCAGCTTGCTCCAAGCCCCTGTGTCCAACCCGGCCTTGAGCACTGCCAGGGATGGGGCAGCCACAGCTTCTCTGGGCACCCTGTGCCAGCGCCTCAGCACCCTCACAGGGAAGAGCTTCTGCCTAAGAGCTCATCTCAGTCTCCCCTCTGGCAGGTTAAAGCCATTCCCCTTGGCCTGTCCCTACAGGCCCTTGCCCAAAGACCTTCTCCAGGTTTCCTGGAGCCCCTTTAGGCACTGGAGCTGCTCTCAGGTCTCCCCTTCAGGAGCCTTCTCTTCTCCAGGCTGACCCAGCCCAGCTCTCTCAGCCTGGCTCCACAGCTGCTCCAGTCACAATCCTCTTGTAAGAAGGAGCAACTTCTTGCTTGTAAACTTCTTTCCAACTGCTCCAGTGTCTGCTGGAGCTCTGAGAAGGGGTGAGACATCCCCACACAGTGTTCTAGGAGGTGGTTCTGCAAAGCCTTGCAGCAGGCTGTGGGGGAGAGAAATAGACCAGGGAGAGGTGTCACAACACGAGGAGTTACTCAGCATTTTACATCTTGGGATACTTGTGCTTGGAGGAAAGCACCTAAACCACACTGCCTGCTCCTTCCTGCCCATCTTCTGCGCTGTGAGCCACAGCGACTGGCACTGGGAACAGCTGAGGAGCAGCAGTGCTGGGTTTGGAGGGGGCTCCAGGAGGAAGGGGAATGGGACAGAGGAACTGGCACAGGGGGACAGCAGCGCAGCCTCACATCTGTTCCCAGCTGGGACCTGAGCTGTGCCCTGCGCTGTGGGACGAGCCCTTTCCAGAGCCCTGTCCCAGCCTGACCCAGCGCCTGTGTCCTGCAGCTGCTGAAGATCGCCTTCGACGAGGAGGTGGCTTCAGACAGCGCCGAGATCTTCCGGAAGCACCTGCACAAGCTGCGCTACCCCCAGCACGTGCGTGGCACCTTCGCCTTCACCGTGGGCCAGTCGCCCAAGCAGGCCATGCAGCCCAAGGCCAAGGAGAAGAACCCCTCGCTCAGGTACTGCTGGGGCACCCGACCCTGGCACGGCTTCTCCTCTCCCTCCTCTGTACACCTGCAGAGAGCTGCTGAGTGGGGCTCGCTTGGGAGAGGGGCAGAACCCCCCTGGCTGGGGGTGAAGGTCCCTGGGACCTCTGCTTGTGGGCCTCTCCTGGTGCAGGGTCTCCACTTGTCCCTGCGGGGGACACGTGCTGCGCACCCAGCAGAGAACCGGTCAGAAGTGGGAAGCGGGGTGTCCACTTCCACGGCATCCCTGCCCCATTCCCCAGCCCACAAGCCCTGAGGGCTGTGAGGGACCAGGCTGTGCTGTGCTGCAGGACGGGAGCGCTGGGGGTGGTGGAGCTGTGGAGGTGCTGCCCTGCAGCCAGCCCCTACCCTGCGCTCGGTGGCAGGGGCAGGCACGGCTGGGCTCGGTGCTGCTCTGCTCGCTTGCTGTGCCCTGCTCTAAGCCCCTCTCCCGTGTGTTTGTGACTCAGCTCCCAGCAGGTCACCGATATGTTCCAGGGCCTGGCAGTGGGGGTCATGTCCCTCGGGCACCTTGGCCATTCCAGCACGTAAGATGCCTTCAGCCTGGGTGGGAGCTTGCGAGGTGGCATTGATTCTGGCTGCTCCCAGGGTTTCCTCTAACCTGCTCTGCATGTGGTGTGGGGCTTGTCTCTTGGGAATGCCCTTTTCCAGGTCTGAGGGTGTGCTCTCACCACGGCAGCACCATGCTCAGAGGTGGTTGATCCATTGATCAGCCACCCTTGTGCTCCGTGCCACTGTGGTGGCCCCACGACGTGGAGCTGTGCCTCTACCACTAACCTCCAGAGACCTCTAGAGCTGCCAGGCCTGGGCACAGTCTCCAGTGTCTGAACTTGTGAGATGGGCTTTGTCACCTCTCTCCAAGGCTGCTTCCAGTGCCCCACATTATCTACAAACCTTGGTTCTCCCGTTCTTGAGTCTCCATGCCTTAGCATTCATTCTCAGGACAATGTTTTTCTTCTGTCCTGAGGCTCTCCCTCCCTTGGTACGTGCAGGGAGCAGTTGGAGTCCTTCACCACCCACTTCACAAAGCCAAACAAGGCACCTGAAAGTCTCAATTTGAGCCCTGTCTTGATCAGGTGAATGTTGAGAAGTCTTTCATCAGTGTAGCTTTGTCCAGGGTTGGCCGTGGCCATTCCCTGTGGGATGTATATCCCATGTCTCCTTCATTTGTTCCCCTTTGAGCCCATGAGCTCACTGAGGAGGTGATGAGCATGAGGTCCTGTGTGTGGGCAGGACACATTCCTGCTTCAGGAATTCCTGCCTTCTGGAGCTGCATCATGTGGAGCCTATTCTGACCATGCAGCCTTATCTCCGAGGGTTTTGGAAGGTCTCCCTTCCTGCTTTCCATGGGATGCCCTAAGGAATGGCTGAACCCAGCCATGCTCTCCCTGTCCTACGTGGTGTGGAGCAGGTCACCTTCCACAAGCCATGGGCAGGCTGGAAACCTCCCTGTGGTGGCTCTGGCCTTTGCCATAAGCTAGAGCCTCCAGGGACAAGCTGGCTCGGTGCCTGCTGGAGCTCCAGTGTGGAGGTGAGAGTTAGAGCCAGGACAAGGCTTCCCTCGGGATAGGAGGCTGGGGCTCCTGCCCAGCCTGGCAGCTCCATCCACAGACGGGCAAACCTCGGAGCTCTGCCCCTGCTCGGTGCCCTCCACAGCCAAGGGAGCCATGAGGTGGCATCTCCCCTCCTGTGGTGACAGCGACCACCCCGCGCCTGCAGGCGGTGGTGCGGGACGCGCCTGTCTCTGCTTCGCTCTCGGTGTGACTGAGTGTTGGTGTCTTCAACCCTTCGGGGCTGCTCGTGGGGCTGTGCCGGGGCTGTGGCCACGGGAGGTGGTGGTGGGGGTCTCAGCCTGTTCTCTGGTCCAGGACGCTCTCCAAAAACCTGGTGAAAAACGCCAAGAAGACCATTGGGCGGCAGTACGTGACGCGGAAGAAGTACACCCCCCCCATGTGGGAGCAGAGGGGCAGCCAGCACTTCCCCGAGGACAACGAGGATGAGATCTCAGGTTGGGAGTGGGCTCTTGGATGGGGCAGGAGCTTCTTCCAGGTCATGGCCACCAGGAGCTTCCCTGCATTGCCGCCGTGCTCACCTCTCCCAGTTCTCAATGGTCCACCAGCTCTCATCTGCTTGTGGGACACTCTTTCAGTAGCCAGCAAGCCCTGTGGAGAGGAGGGAGTTCTTTGGTCTCAGCTCTTCAGATGAGAAGTCCCAAATTTCAGCTGCAGTCAGGTCAGGTTAGACATGAGAAGAGCTTGATTGGTTTGAGAAGGGACAGGAAGGAGTCCTCTGTGTGGAGGTGACAACCTTCCTGGGTGGAAAGGCTGGTCAGAGAAGATGTGGTGGATGGGATTTAGGGTTTCAGTTGGGAATGGTGCCTGCGGGGACCTGGCCCTCCTGCTGGTGTGGGGCTCGTCCAGCAGACTGGACATGGCTGATTTGGGATCTTCCCTTCTGTTCATGGAGATAGTTTGTATGCCATGGAGATCATAGAATTTCACAATGGATGGTTTGGGTTGGGAGGGACCTTAAAGGTCCTCCGGTTCCAACCCCCTGCCATGGGCAGGGACACCTTCCACTAGAGCAAGTTTCTTCAAGGGCCTGTGTCCAACTTTGCCTTGAACACTGCCAGGGATGGGGCAGCCACAGCTTCTCTGGAGCTGCTCTCCTCTATGGGAGGAGATGGACCCATTGGTGGAGCAGCTCTGGCCGGTCAGTGTTGGGCTGTTCCTCATCTCTCAGTGATATCAAGCAATGTGAAAGCACCAAAAAAACCTGCTCTAACGCCAGCCCTCAGGCAGAAGCTGACTTCTCTGTGCTTTTAACCTCACAAGTGAAGGCTCTCGCCCTAAAGTCCAGTGCCCAGCCCTTTGGGGCAGCTGAGCTTCACCATTTCAGGTGGAAGTGGTGGGATGGAGCTCCTGCCCTGTCTGTGGTGGGCTGGGAGATGCCTCCAGCCCGTTCACCTCCACCAGGAGCACGTGGGACACTGTCAGTGCTGGACCCTGACCCCTTTGTCTCCGCAGTGTCTGAAGAGATGGACAGAAGCACTTTGACCCCCACCACCACCATGAAACCTTCGGACAAGATGACCATCAACCACCTGGTGGAGCGGGCCTGCTGCCGGGACTACCAGCGCCTGGGGCTGGGCACCCTCAGCAGCAGCCTCACCCGCTCCAAGAGCGAGCCCTTCCGCATCTCCACCGTCAACCGCATGTACGCCATATGCCGGAGGTGAGCGCCGGGGCGGCTCCTGCGGGGCAGGGAGGGCAGCGGGCTCTGAGCTGGGCTGTGGGCGCCGAGGGGGCTCATCCTGCACCCCACCGAGCTCCGCAGCACCTCTGCTCTGCCCTGCAGCTACCCCGGGCTGCTCATCGTGCCGCAGAGCATCCAGGACAACACGATCCAGCGCATCTCCCGCTGCTACCGCCAGAACCGCTTCCCCGTGGTGTGCTGGAGGAACTCCCGCACCAAAGCCGTGCTGCTGCGCTCAGGGGGGCTGCATGGCAAGGGCGTCGTGGGCCTCTTCAAGTCCCAGAATGCTCCCACTGCAGGTGCCTGTACCCCCTGTGCCCTCCTTCCCCTCCATTCCCTCTGTCCCCTCCATCCCCAGGGCATTGCCCATGGCGGGGCCGTGCTGCAGAGCCCTCCCCATGTCTCACAGTGGTTTTGGTACTCTCCCCCAGGCCCCTCGCAGGCAGACTCCACGAGCCTGGAGCAGGAGAAGTACCTGCAGGCTGTCATTAACTCCATGCCGCACTACGCCGACGCCAGCGGGCGCAACACGCTCAGTGGCTTCACCTCGGCTCACATGAGCAGCTCAGGTGAGGAGCTCGGGGACAGGGATACAGGAGGGGTCGTCCTCGTGCCCCAGGGCTGCAGCCATGGGTCGTGGTGTCCCTCCCACACCCTTGACACCGGGTGAGCTGCTGGCCCCCATGGCCCACCTCAGAGGACGCAGCAGAGGCTGCTCCACAGCTCCCAACTCCGGCTGGGCCTCTGTGGATGAGGTTGGGATTGTTTTGGGGAACCCCAATGGCCTGGGACCTGTGAGCACTGGATCTGGGTGCTTGCTGAGGACCTGGTGGGACAGGCCCTGCCAGCTGAGCTCTCAGCACTGTTGGCACCCGGTGCTGTCATGGGAAGCCTCGGTAAGTCTGTGTCTCCTTTGCTCTGTGAGCATCCTGCCCATTTCAGCTGTGGCAGAGCTGCCATCACTGTCCCACTCCAGTGTCATTCATCCTCTGTCCCAACCATTCCACCCCATCATTGCTCCAAAGCTCACTGGGGGCCAGAGGGACCATGGGGACCCAGCCAGGGGCTCCCTGCAGCCTGGGGAGGAGAGGATGTGCCAAAAGCCCCTTCTGGCACATGCTGGGGACATGCCCAGAGCCGTGGCTAAAGGAGGGGGTGTCAGGCCAGCATTGGGGTGGCAGACCTGGCATGGTGGTGATGGAGCTCAGAGCAGGGGCTGCAGGGCTGTGGCAGTGCCTGGGTGACCCCCAATACTGAAGCAGAGCTGCAGGAGTGTTGAGCCCCCCTTTGTGCTGCTGCAGTGGGTGCCGTGGTGGGGCTCCCGCTGGAAGGTGTCCCTGCATGCTGGGTCCCAGCCCCGGCGCTCCTGCTTGTGCTGCTTCCTCTGGTCCCTTGCCCTCCACCCTGAGCAGTGCTGGGGGGTGAGGTGGGAGAACCCCAGAGCAGCCCAGCAAGACGAGAGCTGACGTTCTGTTGGTGCTACAGATCACGCCGACAAGAGACAGCCTAAGCTGGGATCGCTCATGAAGCAGGTGATGGGAGGGAAGGACGATGGGCCTGGTTCTATTAGCCGTGGAGGTGAGGATGTGTGAGGGAACTCTGCCTCTGGGGCCTCACACAGGCCCTGCCTCGGGGCAATGGTGTAGAGTAGATGCTTCCTTCACCCCGAGCTCCGAGCTGCAGGGAGGGAGGGAGGGACCCTCTGAGCACCTGGAGCCACCATCTCCTTCATCCCCATCACTGCTGCAGCCGCTGCTCCTGGGGCCCCAGGTACCCCGTGTCCAGGCAGCGTGGGTCCCCTCGCTGGGTGCCCTCGCTGAGTCGCTTTGTCTGTGCTGCCAGGGCTCGGTCACCGAGCTAAAGTCATCACCCTGTCCACCCCAAAGTGCGCGTCGGCGAAGGGCCGCGACACCCCTCGAGGTACGGAACCGCCAGCCCCTGCAACAGTGCTAACCACGGCACTGACCCCCATACACCCCTCAGTGGTGCTAACCACAGCACTGACCCCCATACACCCCTCACCAGTGCTAACCACGGCACTGACCCCCATGCACGCCTCACCGGTGCTAACCACAGCACTGACCCCCATACACCCCTCACCGGTGCTAACCACAGCACTGACCCCCATACACCCCTCACCAGTGCTAACCACGGCACTGACCCCCATACACCCCTCAGTGGTGCTAACCACAGCACTGACCCCCATACACCCCTCACCAGTGCTAACCACGGCACTGACCCCCATGCACGCCTCACCGGTGCTAACCACAGCACTGACCCCCATACACCCCTCACCAGTGCTAACCACGGCACTGACCCCCATGCACGCCTCACCGGTGCTAACCACAGCACTGACCCCCATACACCCCTCACCGGTGCTAACCACAGCACTGACCCCCATACACCCCTCACCGGTGCTAACCACAGCACTGACCCCCATGCACCCCTCACCGGTGCTAACCACAGCACTGACCCCCATACACCCCTCACCGGTGCTAACCACAGCACTGACCCCCATGCACCCCTCACCGGTGCTAACCACAGCACTGACCCCCATGCACCCCTCACCGGTGCTAACCACAGCACTGACCCCCATGCACGCCTCACTGGTGCTAACCACAGCACTGACCCCCATACACCCCTCACCGGTGCTAACCACAGCACTGACCCCCATGCACGCCTCACTGGTGCTAACCACAACACTGACCCCCATGCACCTCCTTATCGCCCCTCACCAGTGCTAACCATGACACTGACCCCACCACTGACACCCATACACACCCCACACTGGTGCTGACCATATCACTGACTTCCATGCACCCGTTGTCACTCCTCACCGGTGCTACCCATGACACTGACCCCCATTCACACCCCTCAGCAGTGCTAGCCACAACACTGACTCCCATGCACCCCCTGTCACCCCTCACCGGTGCTAACCATGACACTGACCCCCATTCACACCCCTCAGCAGTGCTAGCCACAACACTGACTCCCATGCACCCCCTGTCACCCCTCACCGGTCCTAACCGTGACACTGACCCAAGTCACCGACCCCCATACACACCCTGCACTGGTGCTAACCATGACACGGCCCCTCATAAACACTCCTCAAAGGTGCTAATAGTCACCCCATACGCACCCCCCTTACTGGGGCTGACCACAAGACTGACCCCCCTCCACACCCCACACCAGTGCTAACCACAGCATTGATCCCATCACTGACCCCCGTCCATACCCCTCGCTGGTGCTGACCCATCACCGACCCACACCCCACCCCTCACACCACTAACACCCCAGTCCCCCTCTCGGGCCGCTAACACCTCACTGAGCATGTCGCTGGCTCCCGGCGCTGGGGGTAAGTACTGAGCCCATCCCAGCCCGTCCCACTCCTCTGCTCAGGTTTGCTTTGGGCTCCTTGCACGCTGCTGGTGCTGGGTGGTGGCGGCGGGGCGGGGTGATGGGTGCAGGGGTGCCGGGGGTGGGTTGGGTTGGGTTGCACCAGGCAGGACTCCCACAGCACCCAGCAAGGAGAGAGGAGCGAAAGCAAACCTGGCTCCAGCGCCTCCTGCATGTGCTGCCGGGTGCCGCGGGGGACAGCGGCTTGGCCACGGCTGGGTGATGTGGTGACGAGCTGCTGGCCCCCACGTCAGCCCGGCGGGGGGGGGGGGGCATGGACACCAATGCTGCTGGGACCCCCAGAACCCCTCCTGATGCTGCTGTCCCGCAGGCAAGTGGGGCAGCATCCGGGCCAGCGGGCGCATGAGCAGCTACGCGCTGAACGTGGAGATCGGGTCACGCCTGGCGGGGAAGGACCTGCTGGGAACCCACCACAACGGCACGGCCGAGCCCGGGTTCCTGCGCCCGCACCGCGCCTCGCTCTACATCATTGGGGACAAGTCCCAGCTCAAGGTGACCCCAGCGGCATCACCGGTGGGGGGACACACACATGTGGTTGATAGGAGCATAGAACCAGGCAGGGTGGAAGAGAGCTTTGAGGTCATCCAAGTCCAGTCGTTCCCCAGCACTGCCAAGGCCACCACTGCCCCATGGCACTGAGGCCTCGTCTCCACGCTGTGTGAACACTTGCAGGGACGGTGACTGCAGCCCTGCCCTGGGCAGCCTGTTCCAATGCCTGAGCACCCTCTGGGGCAGGAATTGTTCCTCAGCTCCATCTAAACCTGCCCTGGGGCAGCTTGAGGCCGTTTCCTCTTGTCCCATCCCTTGTTCCTTAGGAGCAGAGCCCAGCCCCTCCTGGCTCCATCCTCCTCTCAGGCACTTGGAGGCAGCGATCAGGTCCCCCCTGAACCTTCTCTTCTCCACACTGAACCCCCCAGGTCCCTCAGTCCTTCCCCATCACACTTGTGCTCCAGCACCGACTCCATTCCCTTCTCTGGCCCCACTCCAGCACCTCAATGTCTCTCTTGTAGTGAGGGGCCTAGAACTGAACACACTAGTGTTGTATTTGGGGGTGGTGGTTCTGCTGGGGTGTCTGAGGACAGCATGGATTGTCTCCTTGTTCAGGGTGTGAAGCCGGACCCGCTGCAGCACTGGGAGGTGGTTCCCATCGAGGTGTTCGACGTGCGGCAGGTCAAGGCCAGCTTCAAGAAGTTGATGAAGGCCTGTGTGCCTGGCTGCCCCTCCACGGACCCCAGCATCGCCTACCTACGCTCCCTGGAGGAGTCTGAGTGGCTGTCACAGGTCAGTTGTCACAGACTCATAGGATCATGGAATGGTTTGGGTTAGAAGGGACCTTAAAGCTCATCCATCTCCAACCCCTGCCACAGGCAGGGACCCCTTCCACTAGAGCAGCTTGCTCCAAGCCCCTGTGTCCAACCTGGCCTTGAACACTGCCAGGGATGGGGCAGCCACAGCTTCTCTGCGCACCCTGTGCCAGCACCTCAGCACCCTCACAGGGAAGAGCTTCTGCCTAAGAGCTCAGCTCAGTCTCCCCTCTGGCAGGTTAAAGCCATTCCCCTTGGCCTGTCCCTACAGGCCCTTGGCCAAAGCCCCTCTCCAGCTTTCCTGCAGCCCCTTTAGGCACTGGAGCTGCTCTCAGGTCTCCCCTTCAGGAGCCTTCTCTTCTCCAGGCTGCCCCAGCCCAGCTCTCTCAGCCTGGCTCCAGAGCAGAGCTGCTCCAGCCCTTGCAGAAGCTCCATGGGCCTTCTCTGCACTCACTCCATCAGGGTTCTGTGTCACAGCCCTGTGTAACCCCTGGGCTCTGCTCCGTTTGGCTCAGTCACTTCCAGGAAGAATGTTCCATTTGCACATGGCCCAGCAGACGAGCTTCCTGCACTCTGGTGACTCTTGTCCCTCACGTTGCAGATCCACAAGATCCTGCAGATTTCAGTGCTGGTGGTGGAGCTCCTGGACATGGGCTCCTCAGTGCTGGTCAGCCTGGAGGACGGCTGGGACATCACCACGCAGGTAGGAGCCCTCCAGATGCTGAACACGGTATCTGCCCATGGCCATCACCCCTCCATGGAGCATCTCAAGCCCCTTCTGTCCCTCCAGGTCGTGTCCTTGGTGCAGCTCCTGTCTGACCCCTACTACCGGACACTGGAAGGCTTCCGCCTGCTCGTGGAGAAGGAGTGGTTGAGCTTCGGGCACCGCTTCAGCCACCGCGGGGCGCAGACCCTGGCCGGGCAGAGCAGTGGGTTTGCTCCCATCTTCCTGCAGTTCCTGGACTGTGTGCACCAGGTGAGCTCCGAGCACCGGGATCTCGGGAGCACCGGGGGCAGGAGCTCCTCCTGCAGCAGGGAATGGTCCCAGAGCACCGTGTGTCCCGGGGGTCTCACCCAGGCTGCTCCTTGCAGATCCACCTGCAGTTCCCCATGGAGTTCGAGTTCAGCCAGTACTACCTGAAGTTCCTGAGCTACCACTACATTTCCAACCGCTTCCGGACATTCCTGCTGGACTCGGACTACGAGCGCATCGAGCTGGGTGAGGGCAGTGTGTGGGCACACAGGGATGGCAGCACAGAACCGTGTCCTCACAGAACACCTCATCCCCTCTCTGCTCCCCTCAGGCCTCCTGTACGAGGAGAAGGGGGAGAGGAAGAGCCAGCAGGTCTACAAGTCCATCTGGGACTACATCGACCGCCTGAACAAGAAGGCCCCCATCTTCTTCAACTACATGTATGCTCCTGAGGATGGGGAGGTGAGAGCTCAGTCCTGCCCTGCACACCTCAGCACCTACATGGAGCTGAAGGAGCAGTCCCTTGTTGGATGGACCAAGGTGTTTGCCCACCAAGGGGCTGTCTGCCACCCTGGGGAGCATGAGCAGAGTCAGGCCCCTTAGGGTCATCGAACGGTTTAGGTTGGAAGGGACCTTAAAACTCCTCCAGTTCCAACCCCTGCCATGGGCAGGGACCCCTTCCACTAGAGCAGCTTGCTCCGAGCCCCTGTGTCCAACCTGGCCTTGAACACTGCCAGGGATGGGGCAGCCACAGCTTCTCTGGGCACCCTGTGCCAGCGCCTCAGCACCCTCACAGGGAAGAGCTTCTGCCTAAGAGCTCATCTCAGTCTCCCCTCTGGCAGGTTAAAGCCATTCCCTCTTGTGCTGTCCTTACAGGCCCTTGTCCTAAGCCCCTCTGCAGGTCTCTTGTAGCCCCTTTAGGCACTGGAACTCCTCTAAGGTCTCTCCTTAAGGAGTCTTCTCCAGGCCATGTCCCTGCAGCGTGGCCAGTGCCATGTCCTGCCCTCCGTGAGCATCACCCTGTGCTCCTGCAGGTGCTGAGACCGTACAGCAACATCTCCAACCTGAAAGTGTGGGATTACTACACGGAGGAGACACTTTCCGAGGGCCCCTCCTATGACTGGGAGCTGGCACAGGGGCAGCCGGAGCCGGTGGAGGACACGGATCGACAGGACACCGGAGCCCCACAGACCAAGCGCAAGATCATCTGGCCCTGCTACGACAACCGGAGCCGCGTGGAGCCCGACGCCATCTCCAAACTGCTGGAGGTGAGCACAGCCCCTGGGGAAGCGCCATTGGTGTCCCAGCGGTGGGGTTGTGGTGGGGTTGGTGTTGGTTGAGCCCCAGGGCAGTGACAGTGGTCCCAGGGGTCTTGTCCCCTCCTGCTCTGAAGCCTGAACTCCCCCTCAGGAGCTGCACAACCTGGAGATGGAGCTGGGGCAGATTCCAGAGCGCTGGAAGGACACGTGGGACAAGGTGAAAGCTTCCCAGCGCACCGAGGCGCGGCAGGAGGGCAGCAGGGTAGGTCCATGGAGGGGCTGAAGGGGTGGCTGTGCCCAGGGTGCCCCATGCAGCAGGTGCCGGTGCTGGTACTTGAGCACTGTCCTCACACTGTGGTCTCTGCTCCCGCAGACCCCCAGCTCCCTGCTGATGTCCTCGGGCCTGTCCCACCACCGCCGCTCGCTCGGGGTGTACCTGCAGGAGAGCGGCGTGGGCTCCACGCTCAACCTCAGCCTGGACAGCGACACCAGCAGCACGTCCACCCCGTCCAGCGGGAAGCCGGGTGGGCGCAGGAGCACCAGCACCCTCTACAGCCAGTTCCACACGTCCGAGAGCGAGAACAGGCAGGAGCAGGGCCCGGGGTGTGGGGGGGATGTTCTGTGGGTGCTCTGTGGGACCACGGTCTCCTCCTGGCTCTACTGATGCCACAGACTGAGCTGTGCTCCATCCCTCCTCTCCCTCCCACCCTAACGCGCTGCCCTGTCCCTGCAGGTCCTACGAGGGGTCTCTGTACAAGAAAGGAGCCTTCATGAAACCCTGGAAGCCTCGTTGGTTCGTGCTGGATAAAACCAAACATCAGGTATGGAGGGGCAGGGAGGCCTGGGGTCTGTCTGTGCTTCCATCCCTCCATCCTTCTATCGCTGCATCCCTCTGTCCTTCCATTGTTCCATCATTCCATTGTTCCATCCATCCTTCCATCCCTCCCTCCATCCATCCACCCATCCCTTCCTCCCTCCTTTCTTCCCTGCCTCCATCTATCCTTCTCTCCATCCATACATCCATCCTTCCATCCACCCATCTGTCCATCCACCCATCCGTCCGTCCATCCATCCATCCATCCATCCATCCATCCACCCACCCATCCACCCATCCACCCACCCACCCACCCATCCACCCATCCACCCATCCACCCACCCACCCACCCACCCACCCATCCACCCATCCACCTACCCATCCACCCATCCACCCATCCACCCATCCACCCATCCACCCATCCATCCATCCATCCTTCCATCCATCCTTCCACCCATCCATCCACCCATCCACCCATCCATCCACCCATCCATCCATCCACCCACCCACCCACCCACCCACCCATCCATCCATCCATCCACCCATCCATCCATCCATCCATCCATCCATCCACCCACCCACCCACCCATCCATCCATCCATCCATCCATCCATCCATCCACCCATCCATCCATCCAACCACCCATCCACCCATCCATCCACCCATCCACCCATCCGTCCATCCATCCCTGTCTCCTTCCTCTGTCCCTCCTTCCATCCCTCCCATGTGATCTGACCGCTCGGAACGTCTCCCTGCAGCTGCGGTACTATGACAGCCGGATGGACACGGAGTGCAAAGGAGTCATTGACCTGGCCGAGGTGGAGTCCATCACCCCAGGGACCCCCACCATGGGGGCACCCAAGACGGTGGATGAGAAAGCCTTCTTCGATGTGAGTGTGGTGCTGGGCTGCAGTGTGCGGTGCCCCAGCGCTGGGTCTGCAGAGTCCCTGGGCTGGGGTCTGCGGTGCCCTGTTCCCCCCTCACCTCCTGCCTCCTCCCTTGCAGCTGAAGACGACGAAGCGCGTTTACAACTTCTGTGCCCAGGACGTGCCGGGGGCGCAGCAATGGATCGACCGCATCCAGAGCTGTTTGTCGGACGCGTGAGCGCAGGAGCCCCTGTCCGGGTGCAGGGTCCGGGCCCACGGAGCAGCGGCAGCGCTGGAGCCGGGGCTGGGATCAGCTGCGGGTGAGGCCCTGGCCTCGGGCGGCCGCGGGGCTGGAGCTGCGGCTCCGCGCTGGGAGGCACTGGTGGAGGATCCCGTCGCGTTGAAGCAGGCCCGGGATGAGCAGGAGCTGGTCCTGCTCTGTCCCCCCCAGGCCTGTCTGAGCCCTGTAATTATTGTGTCCCCTCCGCACCCCACTGCAGCCCCTGCACTGCTGGAGGAGGCAGGAGCTGCCCTCCTCACCCTCCCCATGGCTTGCATGTCCACCGAGCACCCAGGGGGACCAGCCCTGCTCCCCACGTCTCATAGTGCAGCACCCACCCCGCTCCCTCCTTGCTGGACCCAGGGACCTGCCGCTCAGGTGCTGGTGTTGGTGGGGGTGATGCGTTGAGCACAGGGATGCGCTGCCCATCCGGTGCCCCCTGGGCACTGCAGGCAGAGGGTCCCAGTCTTGCACAGGAGCCGCTGCCCATGGCTGGTGGTGGTTGGAGCTCTGGGCACTGGGCTCAGGGATGTGGCTGTGGCTCTGTGTCCCTGTTGGGCACAGTCTCTACCTCCACGGTCAGGTTTGCTGTCGTGGGGGGGCACATTCCCCACGGGAGGTGCCAGCCCTGTCACATTGCGTGGAGGGGGGCACCAGCCCTGGCCCTGGGGTCCCTGTGCCCAAGGGACCCCTCCAGCAGCAACACCGGGGCTGGGATGGTCACTCCAGTCCCTGTGGCGCCGGCTGCTGCCACCCGGGCTCTTTGCACAGGTCAAACCCCCCCCCACACCCCGCCCCTGGTGGCACCGCTCAGCGCTGCCCCGTGTACCCCCACACCACCTCAGGGCCCTTCCTCTCGTCCCCCCCGTCTTTGTGCTGTTGGGGGGCTCTGAGCAGAGCGGGGTTGCCCTGGGGGTGGCTGCGGGTCCCACCCCCACCCTCCCTGCGTGTCCAATGCCAGTGCAAAGGGGAACCTCGGTACAAGCGGCTCCTGCAGCATCTCTCCCCCCCGCACTGGTGTGACCGCTGGAGGGGGGCTTGGCTCACCCAAAGGGGTCCCTGCCCCCCCCCCCAAGCTCGTTCCTGTCTGTTTTTATGGAGTACAATGTTTTATTTCAGTGCAGAGCTCTTTGTACAGTCTTACCCCCCCCCCCCCCCGTTGTACAATAACGGCCGCGCAGGAGCCGGAGCCGCCGCCGTGGGGCTGGCCGCAGCAGGTGTAGATTATTGAGGTTTCTGTACATTGGGGCCCGGCCCCGCGGCACAGAGAAACTAACGGTTTAATAAAAAAAGTCACAGAGAGCGGGCGGCCCCAGCGCCTCAGTGCGGGGGGGTGATGGGGGGGGGAATGGGGCTGCCCGGTGCCATGGGGCTGCGGCACCGCACTGGGGATGGGCCCACCCTGCACCCCTGTGCCAGGCAGGGAGCCGTGTCCTGCCTGTGCCGGGGCCACCAAGTGCTGCTCTGCCCCAGTGGGACATGGTTGGATGAAGCCAGTGCCCACCCAGCACCCACTCAGTGTGCACCCAGTGTTACTCGATGCCCATCCAGTGTCACCCAGTGCCCACCCAGTGTCACCCAGTGCCTACCCAGCGCCCATCCAGTGCCTACCCAGTGCCACCCAGTGCCCAGCCAGTGTCACCCAATGTCCACGCAGTGTCACCCAGTGTCACTCAGTGCCACCCAGTGCCACCCACTGTCACCCAGTGCCCACGCAGTGTCACCCAGTGCCCACCCAGTGTTGCCCAGTGTCCACCCAGTGTCACTCAGTGCCATCCAGTGCCACCTAGTGCCCACCCAGTGTCACCCTGTGCCCCCCAGTGCCCACCCAGTGTTACCCAGTGCCCACCCAGTGTCAGCCAGTGCCTACCCAGTGCCCATCCAGTGCCCACCCAGTCTTACCCAGTGCCACCCAGTGCCCAGCCAGTGTCACCCAATGTCCACGCAGTGTCACCCAGTGTCACTCAGTGCCACCCAGTGCCACCCACTGTCACCCAGTGCCCACGCAGTGTCACCCAGTGCCCACCCAGTGTTGCCCAGTGTCCACCCAGTGTCACTCAGTGCCATCCAGTGCCACCTAGTGCCCACCCAGTGTCACCCTGTGCCCCCCAGTGCCCACCCAGTGTTACCCAGTGCCCACCCAGTGTCAGCCAGTGCCTACCCAGTGCCCACCCAGCGCCCATCCAGTGCCCACCCAGTGTTACCCAGTGCCACCCAGTGCCCAGCCAGTGTCACCCAATGTCCACACAGTGTCACCCAGTGTCACTCAGTCCCACCCAGTGCCACCGTCACCCACTGCCCACCCAGTGTCACCCAGTGTCCACCCAGTGCCCAGTGTTGCCCAGTGCCCACCCAGTGTCCACCCAGTGTCACTCAGTACCATCCAGTGCCACCTAGTGCCCACCCAGTGTCACCCTGTGCCCACCCAGTGCCACCCAGTGCCCACCCAGTGTTACCCAGTGCCAGCCAGTGCCCACCCAGTTCCCTCCCAGTGTTAGCCAGTGCCATCCATTGCCACCCAGTGCCCACCCAGTGCCACCCAGTGTTGCCCAGTGCCCACCCAGTGCCCAGCCAGTGCCCAGCCAGTGTCACCCAGTACCCACTCAGTGCCATCCGGTGTTACTCAGTGCCCACCCAGTGTCACCCAGTGCCCCCCAGGCTCAGCTGGAAATTGCCTCACTGCAGCGCAGGGGATGGGAGATGGTGTGAAAGGAAAGCTGGAGAGGAGCCCAAACCCTGGTACCAGTTTGATGCTCCCCTTATCGCTGGGCGGGGGGATGACATTGGGCACTCTTGGGACCAGCACAGGAGGCACCATTTGCTTTCCCTTGACCAACCACCCCAACTGCCTCAGTAAATGCAGCCCAGTGACTCCACGCAGTTCTAACGGCAAACCTGCTCCTGGCTGCGGCCGCCAAGATGGGCACAAGAGGAGGCTTCAGTGCCACCACAAAGGAAAGATCCCCAGGCCTGAGCCAACAGGATGAGTGCCTGAGGCCAGCCCTGCTCTGCCCCAGCACTGATGGCTCTTGTGGCCTCATCCAGCCACTCTGCAGGGTGAAGACTGAGGCCCTGGGCACGAGACTCCTGGGACTGCGCTGCTCTGGCAATGGAGCCAGCACAAGGGACCGGGACGTGCAGAGCCAGCAAGTGCCAAAGCTGCTGCTGGCCAGAGCCTTGGCAGGAACCAGCTGGGGTCAGTGACAGCCCCTCGAGGGTGGGGGGAGAGAATCAGCCCTGCAGCACCTCACCCATCAGCTGCAGACACCGCGGGTGCATCCAGCACCAGCAACCCCACCAGAGCACCGCAGCCCATGGGGCTCACAGTGCTGCTGTGCTCTGCCTGCACCCGCTGCTGGATGAAGCCATTGCACTGCCTGGGCAGAGGGAGGGATGCGGCACAGCCAGGGCTGAGCGTGTCCTGCAGGGTGGAAGTGTTCAAACCCCACACAGACGAGGCCCTCAGCCCCACGGAGTGAGCTCCAGCACACCCTACCCGTCCAGGAGCCTCCCTGGTGTGCCCAGTACAGATCTTTGACTGTACCCATGCTGATGCTGGTTTCGAAGTGCACACTTACTGATCATCAGTGCAAACACCAAAGCTCTGAGAAAAATAGGTTTAAGGTGATTTTAGAAATATATATGTATATATATAACTAGTCCCTATATACATTAGCAACAGGAGATGATGAGCAGAGGGAGGGATGAAGAGTCGAGCTGATGCTCCCTGGCCAGCAGCACCATCCACTGAACCCTCATCCCACTGGGATGTTGTCCTCAGCAGCTTCCACCTCACAAATAAACTGCTCTTCACTGTCACAACCCCTGCAAGCAGAGAGAGGAGGGGATGCTGCGAGGAGAGCTTCTGAACTACATGGGAACACTTCAGGCACAGAGAGCAGCAGGAAGGGAGCTCTTTGCTCCAAAGCTGCTCTTGGAATCACCACCAAGGCTGGCAGAAGAAAGAGATTTTTTTCCTTGAAATTGGGTTGGAACTGGATGATTGTAAGGTCCTTTCCAACCCAAACCATTCCATGATTCTATGACTGAAAGCCCAATAATCCCATTAATCACAAAGTCTCTTCTGTTCTCTGCTGTGTCATGGCCCAGGCACGCAAGTCTTCGGTTACTCACGTCCTCAGGCAAACAGAAGCAGTGGGACAAGGTAACATTTCCATGGATGCTGGGATAAGATCCACGGGGTGACCAAGTGTTTGCAAACTGGCCGTGAGTCCATCAGCATCGAGGACTGAGGGGTCCCCAGGATGCTCCAACACAAACATTGCACTGCCTTTGCTCCAAACCCACTGCAGGGTGCCCACCTTCACCCCACCCAGGAAAGCCCAACTCAAGCTCTGCTTTAAGGGGAGATTACAGACCTACACAAAGCCACTGCTCCTGGAGCCTCCCCAGTGGAAGCCCTGCCTGTGTGGTGGCTACTCCTTCACCCCATGCTCCAGAGCAGACTCATCCCGTGGCTCCTTGCTGGACTCACTAAGGCTCAGTGGGGCTGGGAACCTCCAGCCTGGCCAAGCACCAACACATCCCAAGCCAGGGGAGCCCCTCGGCTCCCTCTGGCCGCAGCCAAAGGTGGGGGGGAGATGGCATCTCATCCACTACCAAAAACACAAGACCAAGACACGGGGATTTAGTGCTCCATCACAGCCCAGGCTGTGCACTAACTGGGTCATTACAGGCCAGCAGAGGCCTGTCACAGGGATGCTCCCAGGTTGGACCAGTGAATGCCCAAGGATGAGCCACGTCACACCAGTGATGTGTACCCAGTGAGACCTGCAAACCACCAACACGACAGAACAGCTTCAGTAAATACCCATGTTCTTCTCTATCCCAGTAACCTATTCACTATGCTGGGAGCACACCGTTAGAAATCCCAGTTTACAGTGAAGCCACCTCAGAATCTGACCCACATCCCTACCTCATGATCTACAACCAGCCCCAAACCACACAACAGGCTTGGGGTGAAGCCAACAGCCACAGCAAGGTCCAACTTTCATTTGCATCAGCTCAACACAGGATGTTCTAATGTTCCCATTACCTTCCATTACACCAGTATCATGCTGCTGTTTAAGGTTGGAGTAAGAGGGAGAAGCTTGTGGGCAGCTTCCAAAGCGCTCCTCAGAGACTCCATTCAGAAAAAGCAGAATTCAGAGGAGGGATATTTATAGTTCAGAAGGAAAAATATTTACATGCAAAACGAGGATTTAATTTAAATGACACGTTAAATAATAAAATATTTCATATTAAATACTAGGTCTATTTCAACACAAAATCGTGTATCATCAGTTTCTAGGTGAGTTTAAGCACAATTTCCCCAAGACCTGAAGCAGAAACTCAATGTACAGTTTTCAGGTGGACACCAATGAAACATGCTGAGCGGACAGGAGGACACACTTCAAATTCACTGTTAGTGCTCTACGTTAGATGCTCTGCTGAGCTATCCCCCATCATGTGATCTCCATCATCCCTTAGGGAAAGGAGCCCCATGACGTTATCTCCATCATCCTTAAGGAGTCCCCATCTCATAATCTCCATCATCCTTAAGGGAAAGGAACCTGCTCTCCTTGCACAGCCCCATCCTCAAGGGCGGCCCATGGACCTTCTGCTTGAAGGCATTGAGTCCCAAGCCACCCCTTTCCTCCTCTGTTGTGAAATACCAACACATTGGTTGGTGAGGATGATGCTGCAGCGTCACCCAGCTCCCAGGCTCTTTCTCTAATGCTCCTCAAGTTCATGGTCTGGCTCCATGCAAAAGCCCATGGAAGGAAGG